ATGATAATGATCAGGTACTTTTTCGGAGGGGGGGGGGGGGGGGACAACAGAGCGGTGACTCTAGTGCTTCTAGAACAAGTGACCCGATTGTGGTTCTCACCTCGCTCAGGTAGCGCTCCATGAAGTCGATCTTGCTGATGCTCCTGAACTGCTGCTCGAAAATATCGATCTGAAACACGATAGTGACATCGGTCAGCAGGTTTCAACGCCCCCCCCACCCCCCCCCACGCAGACAGTCCATAAACCCTTTGTACGTACGTGCGTGTCGAAGCCGTTGTGTCGCAGCAGGGCGACGAAGTTGATGATCTCGTTGACGTGTTTGTCGTTGTCCGCTTCGTAGGTGACGAAAACCTTCCCTGCATTCAAGAGCGGAGAGCGAGCGAGTGAGTGAGGGAGGGAGGGGGGGAGGGAGGGGGGCGCACAGCCCTATAATCTGATTACGATGAGTTATCAAGGCTTACTCTGCTCCAGAGAGAGCGGCGTGCTGTGAGGCGGCGGCCGCTCTTTGGCCGGAGCGCTGTGTCCGCTGTGCCGAGTTAGATGATTAAAACAAGTCGCAAACATTATGAAATATGATGATTTAAAAAAAAAAAACTCACATGTATCGAGCTCCAGGACGTGCAGAGGCGTCTAAAGAGGGAAAGATTAGAGAGAACCGCCTTTAACTGACAAGATTCATTTTGTAAGATTTAATTCACTGAAGCGGCATCATGTCCTAAAGCTGCATTCTGTGTAGTGACCAGCAGGGGGCGACTCCTCTGCTCCCATAGACGTCTATGAGGAAATGACTCTACTTCTCTGTAGTGACCAGCAGGGGGCGACTCCTCTGCTCCCATAGACGTCTATGAGGAAATGACTCTACTTCTCTGTAGTGACCAGCAGGGGGCGACTCCTCTGCTCCCATAGACGTCTATGAGGAAATGACTCTACTTCTCTGTAGTGACCAGCAGGGGGCGACTCCTCTGCTCCCATAGACGTCTATGAGGAAATGACTCTACTTCTCTCTTGATTTATTCCCTCAGTAAACATTGTAAACATGAGTTCATGGTCTCAGTCTCTAGTTTCAAGTCTTCTTCAATACAGCATGATGTTCATTTAGCAAACGATGGTCAATTTAGAGTCAAACAGACCATAAAGTAGGGGAGTCGCCCCCTGCTGGTCACTGGAGAGAATGCACCGCAAACCACAGGGGTTGCTGCCTGCACAGACCGCTTCAGATGGCGGTCAACCTAAAAGGGGGGGCGGGGCTTCGCCTCCTTAAAAGTCTGAGGCGGACACACAGACTTACAGTACGGGCTGTGAGCCGGGTGGTACGGCGCCCACGGGTGCCCGGGGAATGGCGACGCCCCACCAAAGGAGTCTACGGGACATTGCGCGCAGCAGGCCGCCCCCTGCGGCGAGCACGTGTACGGCGACAGCGCGTGGTGCCGCAAGTTGCCCGATGGCGGGTTGGAGCACAGCGAGAGCGGCTGCTCCAGGCTGCCCCAGCTGTGCCGGCTGGGGAGGGACGCGAACTTGTAGCCCGAGAGGCTGCTGTCGGCGGAGCGGCAGGACGGGTCTTTCCGGCCCGGGGAGGACGGCAGGCTGTCGGGGTAACCCGACCAGCTGCTGGCGAAGCTCGGGTGGAGCCAGGCGCCGCCGTCCCGGCTGGGGAACGGCGTGGGCTGGCTGTACCCGGGGGGCAGGCAGCAGGGGGGCTGATAACAGCAGAAGCTGGAGCCCGGGGGAGAGAGGCGGAGCTCCTCCGCGCGGCCCGGCCTCGGTCCGCCAAACGGCGAGGCGGAGGCGTGGTGGTGGCGCCGGGCGTCGGGGTGAGGGGCGGAGCTTGGCTCGTGGACGCCGCTGGCTTCCTGCTCCTGCGTGCTCATCGTCTCATCGTCCTCCTGCGGCGTGTTGAGGCGTCCGCTGAGGTATCCGCTCAGAAAGCTGCGACAGGAAACGAGACATCAGACAGTTAATGGAGATTATATCAAAGTCTGAACCCAAAACACCAGCCGATCAAACAGCGCGTTTCATTTAAACAATATCATAAAAATAATGCAGGATATCGTGAATCATCTTCATATAGATACATATATCTTCTTATATATGTATCTATATGAAGATGATTCACGTTATACTGCATTGAAGACGTGTGTTGTTTCCACAGAGGAGGACTTTTATATCTCAGTGAAGATCAAGCAGAGAAAACCGTGACCCAGAAAAGCTGCTGTGGCGTCCGCGCGGGGTTAAAGGTGAGCAGGATGTGCAGCCGCGTCACATCCGGTTAGGCCCCTTATCGCAGGGACGCATCTTCTGCGGCTCGCAGCGACACATCCGCTCCGCGAGGAGGAACAGAAAGGGAGGCGCGGGGACGCGCTCCTCACCTGACGGGGGCCGAGGCCGAGTGGACGGTACCGGGCAGCATCACTGGGCCCCCCCCTCAGGACGACCACGGGCTCCCGCCTCCGGCTGCATCCGAAGCCCTGCGGGAGGAGACGCATGAGAACAGCTGACTCCCCCCCTCGTCCCCCCCGGGCGGATCTCACCCACGCGGGTTTCTAGTTCTGCGGAGATGATGTTGGGGGGGGGGGGGGGGAGGACTTTCTTCTGTTTCGTGGTTAGAACTTCGAATAGAGAATGAACCACTAATGAAGGTTCTGTCGCTCGTCGGGTAAAAAAAAAGAAACATTTACAATATAAAACGTCTCTGACAAACAGCTGTGATTTAATGACTTTAACAATAACGGAGTTTGTATCTCGATGATTAAATGAATTCCGGGCGTTGGCAATAATTATTCTATATAAATAAACACCTGCTTATTTATTTTTCTTTGGGGCTTTTTCAGTGACGGTTCATGACTCAAAGAGCCAAATTAGACGCAAGAATTATTTCCAGAAACACATTAACTTTTCCACAAAACAAACAAACAAACACACACACACACACACACACACACGCACACACACACCAGTTGCTGCGCTGACAAAACCAGAAATGAGAGTTTGTGCGCGTGTCCAGGTGCACAAACAGGTGACGTGTTGCGTAATGAGAGAACTTCAAAACTCACCGTCGATGACTTCCGGTAAAAAAAAAAAAGGACAACGAAAAGTTTAAGAAGCAAAACGTACGTTGAGTTCAAGTATTCAAACGGTTTAAATCTGAACGCAGATTCTCAGCAGCGCGTCGCCTCCGCGAGACTGAAGAGGAATGTGACGCGCGAGCGCTCCTCGTGCCTCACATGGTGAAGCCCCGCCCACACACGCGCACGCGCAGCCCCGGGCACCTTGTAAACGCTGTTTCAGCCTATTTGTTTTTGCATGAACGCGCTTAAAAAGGTCGCATGTCTGCAACTACGAGGTGTGTGAATAACTACTAATAAATATCAGTTCATGTTGCTGATGAAGAGTTGATGAAGATGACTAATGACACTGACGTTACGTAGCTGCCTGGTCGCACACGAAGGAAACCAGTTGTTTTAGATCCTTGAAAAAGAATAAAACACGTACGTTTTACATCAAATCAAACTTTTCAATGAAAAAAGAGCAACACATTTTTATTTTTATTCTCTTTTAATAGTAGTTAATTAACTATGAAAAGTTGAAGTCATTTTAAAACGGTCACGTTTCAACTATGTGATAAAACATGTAATCTAATCGCAAATCTTGTTTTGTTAAACGGAAGTGATTCAGGAACATTGTAGTTATTCATCACGCAGCGTGGGGGGGGGGGGGGGGCCCCAAGCTTCCGGTTGTTTTCCCAGGGGATGCGGGAAGGGCCCGGGGTCCACCCCCCCCTGTTTGGAAAAACAAAAGTTCAGCCAGTCCTTTTGCCCGGGGGGGGGGCCCGGGAACCCACCACAAAGGTCCCTCAGCTCCTGGGCCAAAAAAAAACACACACACACACACCCACCTCTTTTTCACACTGCGGTTCATACTTCTTCTCGTAATAGAAAACACAGTCAGATGAAGCGTCAGAACCCACCTGTGATTGATTGCGCTCTCCACCTCCGCGACGACGTGAGTGACCTCCGGATTCATGACCTCCTCCTCGTCTCCATCATACGTGACCTGCGGCTAAGGACCTTTTGACGCCACAAACTTCCTTCTGCGGCACACGATGCCTTCGAGGACCATTGGAAAGATGAAAACAATTATCACCCCCGGTGAAAGGATATGTGACGAGGTGGCGCGCCAGCGTCCTCCTCTCCGACGCCGCGAGGTTGTAGAAGAACACACGGACCCCCCTCATGAAATCAGGGAGCTCGGGGGGGCCGCCGAGAGGAGCCGAGGGGCCGGGGGGGCTTTCTGCCTGCGTCTCTTTCGGGGAGGACGTCGTCTGGGGGGCAGCAGAGTTCTTCGCCGCTCTGTTGTGGTAGTATCTGTCCGTCACGTTGAGAATCACCTGAGCAGTTCATTATCTGACATCATCCAATAAATGAGGTTCCAAGTGACAATTATCCAAAAGATAATTGATTCAACAATATTATCAGGTCTGTATTGAATAGTTTCAGTTCACAACCTGAACATTTTAATTCTTAAAATCAACATTTGATGCTGATACAAATCTACAATAATCTCATTATCTTTTTTTACTGGTAGAAATGTGGTAAAATAACATTTTCCGACACAGAAAACCCTCTGAGGATACATGAACGTGGCGACGCCTCTGGACGCCAGGTGCTTCCTGACGAGCCGCTCCGTGCCGTACCAGTTGAAGCCTCTGGTGGCGTGGCCGATGCGAGGAAGATGGACGCTCGCTTTGTGGGGCAAAAAAAACACACAGATTTATTTTTATGAATAAAAAAAAAAAGATCAGTCAAAAAGTCAAAATATTTTACGTCAAAAAGAAATACCCAAAAATGTTGGGAATTTGATGGTAGACTGAAGAATGTTATTGAAAAAAAGTTATGTATGAAAAAAAAGTATGTTAAATATAAATTATTAAATAAAATAATTTTTAAATTTGATTAAAAAAACGTCAAAGATTAAAAGGAAATAAAGGAAAAATATATTACATTTAATTTAATATACATTTTTAGTATATTTTCGTGTTTGTAATATTGGAAGCCTCGTCTGTCGCGAGGCGGCGCTCCGTTTACGTACCTTTGTTTCTTTTGGCCGCGGCATAAATCTTCTTCAGACCGTCGTCCAGAGCGCTGAGGAGAATCCCGGACAAGTTGTTGTCTTTGTCCCTCCGCTGAGCGACGATCAAAGCCAGCTGAGGACGTCAAAAACAACAACGGAAAAAACTGATTTATTTGATGTTCACTTTCGTCACACTAGTGTCGCTGCATCCAGAGCGGAGGCCAGCGTGTCGAAGGAGAACGCTTTTAATCGAGTGTGGAAATGATAAAAGAGTTTTGAAATATTCAGTTTCAGTTTCAACTGTTTTAGGCATTTAGGAACCTACTTGATCCCGGCCGTCTAATCTGGACTGTTTGTCATCGATGGGGAAGAGCAGCACGTTTCCAATGTCCAAATCTGAAACCGATAAACAGGGTCACTCTCAAAACGGTGCCGATTATATTCGTCTTTTAGGTCAACCAGACGTGGCTTGAGATGCAGATCCTGCGTAATCGCAGGCGATCTCACCTTTCATCTTGCCGGCCGACTCGTACTTCTTCCTGGGCTCGTCTGATCTCGCCTCCAGAGCCGTGAACAAACCCCCTCGTCCCCAGCGGCCCGAGTCGTCTGCGACACGAAACAACATCACAGCAACGAAGAAAAAAAAAAAACCCCTTCTGATGACTCGCATCCTTGCTGCTCGTCACCAACCTTAAAAACAGAATCTAGAGTAGATCCTTCCCAGTTAATCATCCCCGTATTTGCACCTTTTACAACCTCATGTGCTGTTTGCTACGATGCTAGTTGAGAGGGATTAGTGAGCGGTTCCCTGATGGGACACTGATGGGGGCGGCACAGCAGCTTCATTCGATCAGATTCACGAAACCAGAAGAACTCCGGCTCGCGTTCTCCTAGCGGACCGAGCGCAGCTTTCGTACCGACGCAGTGGACGATGATGGCGTCTCCCTGAGCGGCGTGAGGATGAGTGACGTCACCCAGAACGTAGCGGATGGCGGTGCTGTCGGAGTCTGTGGAGCAAACACTTCTGTCGTCCTCCTCCTCCTCCTCCTCTTCTTCTTCTTCACTGTCCGCCGGAGGCAGACACCGCGACGCGTAGCCGCACGACTCCCACCACGCCAGCCTGCACGGTGAGAACACACACACGCCGCGTCACGGCGGCCAAAAGTCTCCCGCGCAAAACACGTGTGAGATTTGACAAACTTTTTCTTGTGTTTCCGCTCCTGTTGCTTTTTCTTCGCGTCCTCCTGGAGTTTGGCTCTCTTGGCGGCGGCCTCCTCGCGTCTCTGGCTCCTGAGCTCAAGCTCCGCCTCCGTGAGGGGCCTCCTCTTCCTCGCCGGGGGGCCGAGGCTCAGCGGCAGCGACGCCTGGCAACACGCGGAGAAAATGAGTCCTGCTCGATGTGGATCGTCATCATTTAAATGACTTGATTACAGCTCAGCATTTTAATCTGAGCTTCAAGCCTTAAATAAAGTCTGTGGAACTATTCGAGCGCCACAATCGGCCCGTGTGTGTGTGAGGAGTGGACGTCATCATCGTCGTCACCAGAGATATCGAGTAGACCTGTCAATCAGCGTGTGGCCCCGCCCTACAGCGTGCCCTGCTTCCTGGTCTGTTTGACTCTAAATGGAGCATCGCTTACCCGTCCGGCGTTGTTCCGCAGAGCTCGTCCTGCTGCTGCTGCTCGCTGCAGCTCGGCCAGCTGCTCCTCCAGCAGACGCTCGAAGCGCCGCTGGTCGTCCCGGCTGCTTTCTTTACTGTAGTCTTTCCCCTCGAAGTAGTACATGTGGTCTGCAGGGAGGAGACGTGTTTGATACGGATGTGCACTGATCGGTTCTGCACGCAGTGAAGACAGCTTAAGGTTGACGTGATCGTCTGTGATGATGTCACAATGTGAACAGCCAATCGGTGCTTAGATCAACAGGAGGAGAGCTAGCATCGCTAGCAGCATCGCTAACGGCTAACCAAGGGAGGTTAAACCGTGACGTGTTCACATGTAATCTGGTAAAATGTGTTGTGCTGGATGAACTAGTTAACACATACTCTGCCCGTCAGATTCCTCCTCTTCCTCCTCCTCCTCCTCCTCTTCTCCTCTCAGGTCTTCATCCGCCCACTGACCATCCCGGGACGGGCCGAGGATCTTCTCCAGCTTCACCTCGGTGACGGAGCTCTCCTCCGACGACAGGAGCTTATCCACCCCGAACTTCAGGATCTCGCCGAGCTGCGGGGGAGGGGGGGGGGGGAGAGAGAGGAGGCGTCAGCGCTCACACAACGCAGCGAGGGAGGTTCTCTGTGTCGATGACGCCGCCAGCTCTTCGGACCTGGAGTCCCGCGGCGGCCGCCTGAGCCCGGTCCAGCAGCGAGAAGCGCCCGTCCTCCATAACGGTGTCAGTGAGGCGCAGCTTGGACGCGGCTCGGGAGTACATGATCTCCTCCACGGTGTCCCTCGCCAGCAGGCGGATGACTTTCACCGGCCTGCCAACGGGCGAACATCACAGGGTGAGAAGTTCGTGCAGCGACCGGAAAGGGGCAGTTACCGCTTTTACCGTTTTCGGACGCTACTGTTCCACGACGTAACCCAGCAGTCACATTCTACACGATGCCGAGGACACACTGTAGTGTGGGTCTCCATGACGTTTAACCAACACACTACTTCTTCTCATCCTCCTGTAGCCGCTTGTGATGATTCTCAGTCTAGATCATTTTCGTATGAGCTTACGAAGCATCCCAACACAAACTTTTCACTCATTTAATCTCAAAAGGGCGCTTTCTTCGACCCGTAAAAGTCCAGATAAACATCAGAAACTTAAACCTGCAGCTCATCAGTAAGGTTGATGTTAAACCCACTGTTTTGAATGAGTCTTCACTGCGGTCACCTGTTCTGGCCAATCCGGTGGCAGCGCGCGGCGGCCTGCAGGTCATTCTGAGGGTTGAAGTCGCTGTCCATGAAAATAACGGTGTCAGCAGCTGTGAGGTTGAGGCCCACCCCCCCTGCAGAGACCACAGCACAGGATTTAAATACTTATTTACGCATTCAGCACACAAACATTCAACCCGTGATATAAATAAATGGCATTAAATTATAGGTGAATGTATTTTTCAATATATTATGTACAAGCGCGCTGTGTTTTATAGCCGTGATACCGTAATGTGATTCTTCTCCGTATTTCCGTTACCTGCTTTGGTGCTGAGTAGAAACACAAAGATATCGTTGCTGCTGAAGTTCTTCACCGCTAGATTTCTTTCTTCCCCTCGGACGGACCCGTCCAGACGCTCGTAGCTGTAGCCTGAACATATTTATATTAACATTTTATTATTATTCATCAACACCGAAAACCTGCCACGGTGATGTCACTCATTATCTGTGTTCACTGACTTTAAATTATTTCTGGGACGGTGGTGAATAAGAAATGAGTTTGGGATCAGCTGTTACAATGAAAATAATAAAAGGCTTCCGTGTCTGCCAATATGGATCATCAGTGATCAACTACTGGCACCAGCAGCAAAACAAAACACGATCGGGGATCTAAGATACAACATTTCATTTTCCATGAAAAGAAAAGTCGAAAAAAATCTAAAATAACACCGACCTCTGAACTCCATGTAGTCCTGCAGAATGTCCAGCATCCGCGTCATCTGAGAGAACAGCAGGATGCGATGGCCCCTACACACACACACACACGCACACACACACACACACACGCACACACACACACACACATCGTGATGCCGGTGTTTATGGCTTCTGGTTCACGAGGGAATCTGAGCCTGAACTATCGGCGGGATTTAACCCTCTGAGCGAAGTGGTGCAGGGGACGTTTGAGACGACCACCCACCTCCATCTCACTCTGGAGCTTCTAGACTCCGACTGCAGAACCTTCCTTACTTAACCCTGCGTCTCCTGAGCCGCGGGGCCGATGGACTCACCCTTTGTGGAGGTGCGTCAACATGCCGTCCAGGAGAGAGAGTTTCCCGCTGGCCTCCACCAGATGTTCCCCCATCTCGAACGGCTCCGGCTCCACCCCTAAACGACGAGACGTGTATCGAAACAAGATCCGCCTGGTCGGGGCTGCGATTCTGAACCGCAGGACCACATCTCACCGTTGAACAGGTACGGGTGGTCCACACACTTCCTCAGGTTCATCAGGATGTTCAGCAGCCGGTTGCCGTTGCCGTGGTCGTCTCCAAAGGCCTCTGTGAAGACAGGACGCCGAGAGGTGAGTCGATGTGGAGTACAATGATGTGGCTGTACTATCAGGGGATGTGCTGCTTTAACCAGCATGTCAATTTGACCAGCAGAGAATCTGTCATTTTTAAATCAATGGGATTAATAAAAAACGCATTGCCATCACTTATTTTCTAAGCTCTCAAATACCAGACGGTGCTTTTCACCACGGGGCCCGAGCCTCACCCAGATCCTTCATCAGAATGGCCTTGTAGTATTTCTTCTGCAGGGCGGACATGCCGTGGTACATCAGCAGCTCCGTCTTCCTCGGCAGATCGACCGCCACTTCCGACTTGACCCGGCGGAGCAGGAAGGGCTCCAGGAGGCCCTGCAGCTCAGCGGCTGGAGGCAGAGGCCGGGTGAGGGACACAGGAGGTTGGATGAAGGCGAAAAGATCAGCGAGGGAGCAAAGTGCTGTTTCAGACCCTTAAAAGAATCTATACCAGCTTAAGTGAATGTTGTATTTAGAGAATTTTCACCAGGTCTCAGGAGATATTGTGTGAAACTTAACTTACTTGTGACTAAATTCCATTGTTTGCCTGTTTCATGAAATGAGTCATCAAAGAACTTCAATGTGATGTTATTTTCTTTCTATGACTCATGAGATTCTGTCAATCTGAGCTGAAGACATGTTTACGTCCTCTCACGTTATTTACATCCTTTGTACCTAAAGCAGGTCGAGTCTGAACGTCGGCGTAAGAGCGCGTGAAGTTGTCCGCCTCCTCGGCCGTGAAGATGTTGGGCTGAACGAAGCTCAGCAGCGAGTAGAGCTCCTGCAGGTTGTTCTGGATGGGGGTCCCCGTGAGCAGGACTCTGAAACCCGCTGAGAACTACGTCAGAACACAACGGGTGGGGGGGTCAGAGGGGACGGAGGGAGAGAAGAGCCGACAAAAAGCCGACGGCTGAAAGCGGCCGAGGCCTCGGTACCTGAGTCAAGGTCTTGTGCAACAACGAATTCGGATTCTTCAGCCTCTGGGCTTCATCTACAACGAGCACCTTCCAGCTCCACCTGAGGAGCAGACACGGATTACACCCAGACGAGGAAATAAAGTACTTTTCGTTTTGAATAAGTAAGTATGTAAATCCTACTAATCCCAAATGTCTCGAGCACAGACAACACATTAGACGGCTGTGCGTCTTTATTGGCAAAGAAAATAAATCGGCTGTGCCAGATTTCTTAGGGGGACACCGTGTAGGAGTTGGTCTGCCATCTAGTGGTGAAGTTACATATTGCATCCAGCAGGGTTTTGCTCCTTAACAAGCTTCCTTCAAGTAACTAAAAACATGAAAGTCTCTCTGTGCTTGAATTGTCTATTCTGGGCTTATGAATATTATATCACGTTGATGCTAATGAACTTCTCTAAATGCTACAAACCGGCGCTTTAAATGGAAGGTGATTCCTACCAAACGTGTCAAAGGATCCAAACAAAGTTTCTGCCAATTTGTAATTCAGAACACACTTACCGTCTCAAGAATGAAGCATCTTTGAGACACAGCTGGAAAGGAAAGATTCATATTTTCATTTGCACAGAACATTTTGGAGAGTCGGTCACAACAGAGAAGAATCCTTTTGTTTCCCAGGAGATAAACACAGACCTCGTAGGTGGTGAGCAGGACATCAAAGTCTTGAGTTTGTGTTTCCCTGTGAAGCTCAGCCCGTCTCTCTTTGTCTCCTTTGTAGCACAACACAGTCAGAGACGGCGCGAAGCTGCAACCGAGAAAAAACAGTCCATATGCATCTGAAATACACTCTGAAGTCACAAAAAACATCGTCCACACACGTGCTGAGCTTTAGGTGTGAAACCCCACATGAAAATATTACTAAATTATCAAATGCATAATATGTTGTGTAGAATCTCCTAAAGTAATCAAATTAAGAGCAAGCAGTCGGCTCGCAGGAATCTCTCGGACTGAAACAACGGAAACAACAAAAGAGCTGGACTGAGTCGACGCTAAACGACAAGCCGTATTTAAATAAGTGAATCATGTCGGGAGATATTTCTCACCTCAAACTAAAGAGCTGCCAAAAGTATAAGCATCTCTGCACCGTGTTCTATTATAAATATTCATATTATACAGTTCTAGCAGCGTGCTGGTGGTTGCAGTGACTTTTGTATCAGAGGAATGTGACTGCACCTTTCCAGCTCTTTCCTCCAGTTCTCCATGACGGAGAGGGGGCTCAGCACCAGGAACGGACCTTTCCTCCCAGGAGCTCCGGACACGAACACCAGCAGAGAGATCGTCTGAAGAGACACAACATTATTACACTGTGTTACAATAACGGGGGCCTTATGCACACAACAGATAAGGGTGGCGCCTGAGTAAATATTATCGAATATCTTCATCACAATTATTACAATTTTGTAAGGTCAAAGGTAATTTTGCTAGTGATGTTTCATTTAAAGGATATATTGGTTATTTAAATCATCGGCAAATATTTGTATATTTTAAAAAGTATATTAATGAACATTTATTATTAGTTATAAAGAGGACGGATGGATCTCATACCTGACATGTTTTACCCAAACCCATCTCGTCTCCTAGAATGCATCCCTGCTGGTTCTTCAGACACTGGGTCAACCACTGGACCCCATCCAGCTGGTAAGGTCTCAGCTGGATCCCTGAGGGAAGGAGACAAGGAGGCATGAAACACGTGATGGACGCGCCGGTGGTTCGAGTAGCCAGTCTGACAGCACAACACGAAGCTAATTAAGCCAGCGGTGTAAATATAACCGTTGGCTAGCTAACGTTGAATGAATATGCTAACTTTCGTTAAAGACGTTACCTAAGTAAAGGATTTTTAAAAAACCTCAGTACCATTTAATCCACATTTAACCAAGTCACTCTGAGTAAGAGCCGTCTTCTGTTTCTCTGCCACGCAGCTTTTTATTTTTAACAAAATATTACTCATACTTCGAGACGCTCAACTTTTTTCAGCTGAACGTTGGATCTCTGTTGCACTTCCGGGTTGGGTCACGTGAGCCGCGGGGGAAAAAGGCGCGTCACCCCGTTTGAACTGCCGCGATAGAGAGAGAGAGAGACATAGAGAAAGAGACAGAGAGAGAGAGAGAGAGAGAGAGAGAGAGGGAGAGGGGGAGAGAGAGAGAGAGAGAGAGAGAGAGAGAGAGAGAGAGAGAAAGAGAGAGAGAGAGAGAGAGAGAGAGGGAGGGACATTTGTATACGGACCCAGAGTTTACACGTAATAAAAACATTAGTGAACACAGAAAGGCGGACCGACCCCCCTGGTTCATTCTTCTTTTCTTTTACTTATTTTCTTCCTCGGTTCTTTGATTAATTAACTGCTGCAACATTTGTTGTATGTATCTGTGTTGGCTGCATACCAACGAGTTAACATCCAATCACAAAGATTCACCGACGAGTCGAGGTAGCGACTATTGGCCAATCACAGCACAGTAAGGCGGGACCTAACGTCTGGCGGTTGCTGGTTGTCAAGGTAGGTCGAGGAGTAGTTTATCTGGTTACTAGGCAGCGGTTACGGCTCCGGGTGCTGATGTTAAGTTCACTTCTGAGCGGAATACAACTATCATCGCCACAATGGCGTCCTCGAGGTAACCAGTCGTGTCCTTTTTGTTCCTACAATCATCCTCTTACACGTGTAGTTTATGGTCCGCTGAAACGTTCGCGTTTTGTCTAAGAGACCTCACTCTTAGCCACCGAAGCTAACTTGGGGGCTAAGTGTCTAAAATAAAAATAAAAACTCTATTTCTGTTCCAGTGACTTTCGGGAAAAACTGCGGAAGAAAAGACGCGCTTTGCAAGAGACGTTAGTGAAAAGCCAGAAGGAGGACGACGCTCAGGTAATGGACGTTATCTCAGATGAACGCGATGAGTTGTTCCTGTGGACCGATAGTAACCGTGTGAGATCATCCAGAGCTTTAACAAGACTCAACATGAGTCTCACTTTATACACACACACACACACACACACACACACACACGGGTAGCAGAGCTGTCAACGCGTTGGTAAATATAATTATACTCGATAGGCTCTGGTTCCGTCCACCAAATTGAGTGACGAGGAACTGCGAGCTACAATGAAGGTTGGTCAGTGCTTGCGTGTGTGTGTGTGTGTGTGTGTGTGTGTGTGTGTGTTGTAGTTTAGCCGCAAGCTGAAGCTGCCTCCTCCTGTCTGTAGTGCTGCTGGCTGCTCAACACCAACATCTACTTCCTTCTCTCATTTAGTTCCGATAGGATGCCGTTGCTATCTGGTCTTATACTCGCATGCTTGTGTTGCACCAGGAACCTCAGAGCGGCGAGGAAGATCCAGGAGAGACACTGAAACAGACGTTGAGGGCTCAGAGACAGAGGCGGAAGAAACAGGTACATCTTCCCGTCGCAGCCTTTGCTATCCATCGGCCACCGGCTCCATCGCTGTTCACATTTGTTCTATCTCTTGCGTCAGCTGCTCGACCGATCTCCAGCCCAGGAGACCCAGGATGACGACGATGTGGAGATCTCCGCCAATCGGCAGCACGGCGAAGACGGGGGATCAGCGGAGAAGGCAACCGACCCCGTGGGTTTGTCAAGACCCCCGACTGGATCTCACAGCGGTTGGTGTCCATGTTCTCCTCAACACGCCTCTGTCCGTGATGTCATTTATATACCATAAGCAGTGCCATACGATTGTATTCTGCAGCCTGTAAGGATGTTTTAGTACACAAGACTCAAGCAAAATTACAGGAACTTCTCAACATGAACCCAAACAACACTTTTGTCAAAGTTATAAGTACAAGTACAGCACTACGGAAGTCATCGCAGTTGTGCTTTGTCTTCTAGGTCCCTCCCCAAGAGTCCATCTCAGTCCCGACTCTCATTTAGACAGCGTTGTTACACGTCGCCTGGAAGAGAGACTAAGAGCCGCCAGGGTAAGCGCAAATTATTCCATTAACGTTTTTACTAGTTTAATGAAAAAAAATGGTGTTTGCGCATGGATGAACAGTGTTGATTCTTGTGTTCCAGTCTAAAGGGGAGACCCTGCAGCAGCAGGAGGCCCCTCTGGAGCCAGTCAGTCGCCTGCAGAGCCTCCGAGACAGAGACACCGTAACGAGGTTTGACCGAGAGGTGAGCGTCCCGCCTCTTAACCACGATGGTACCCAGCGCAGTGGAGATTTAACTCCCAGTGTTTCACAGGTCGATCCGGAGCGAGCTGGGAGACGCGACGACCCCCCGGTCCTCAGCAGTAGGGTCAAGTTCAGAGAAGCACCGAGACGGGTGAGGACGGAGACAAGATCACAGTGACGTTAAGAACAAATCGTTTGCGTTCCATCCAATTGTTCCTTCTTTGTGAATGCAGAGTGAAAAGAGCCTGCCGACTGCTGAGGAGGCGTACAATTTCTTTACTCTCGACTTTGAGCCGGATCCAGTAGACGGTACTGAGAAGAAGAGCAAGAAAAGAGACAAACAGAGAAGGGTCGCCGAGGAGGACGGAGATGAAGAAGATGCTGAAGAGGAGGAAGAGTGTGTAGAAGATGCTCTACAGGAAAATGAAGACCGGGTAAGACACCGACGACAGAACGGTAAGAAATGAAGTGAAGTAGATTCTCAGCACCTCGCGTTCTTCTTCCCGCCGCAGAGTGAGGAAGCTCCTCTTGTTCGAGACGAAGCGGACGATTTGTTCGCGGTCGGACAATCGTCCCAGGACTTCCTGGAAGTGAGGAGAGCAGAGTATGTCGGGTACCGGAAGCGCGTTCAGCGGGAGAGCGGCCTCCTCTTCACGCCGAGCTTTCGAACAGGTATTCTCTAATGATACCTGGGCCAGAACCCCTGGGTCAGTTGTCAGCGTCAACATTCTGCCGAGGATTCAATCTTTTAACTGCCGTCGTCTGTCATCGTCACAGCCCCGGCCTCCATCAAACTGCCCGAAAACACAAAGCCTCGTTATCTGGAGGACGAGGGTCTGTATGTGGGGCAGAGGCCTCCCGTGTCCCCGGCCAATGAGAACATTCTGGAGAACCGCGTCTTGAAAATGGAGGAGGTGATTTTAGCCGCGAACGCATGGCCGCGTCCACAAAATCTTTGAAATATACGTGTGCACCAATATCTCCATTTCTTCACGAAGGGAAAGAAATGGTTTGGTGATGACGGAAGGATCATTGCTCTACCCGACCCCATAAAGGAATCCTCCACGAGACCCCCCCTCTTCCACATGGAGGAGGACCTGGACCCCGCTCTGCAACCTGTGTACAGGAAGGTCAGACTCACGGCCGCTCTCGCCTCCATCGCCCCCTTCACCATCTATGGCAAAATATTTATTCTTTCTGTGGTGTGGCCTGGTTCCCAATGGCCCATGTACCGGTCCGCGGCCCAGTGGTTGGGAACCTCTGCCTTAAAGGATCTGTGTCAGTTTAAGTAAAATACATATTTAGAATATTATTACCTTGAAGTCTGAGGATCTCTGCTCTACTCAGAGACGCGACACTGTTTTAAAGGGTTAGTTCGTGTTCACCAAGTCACAGTAATCCTCGATCATAAGATCCCCCACTTATATAAAGGATACAAGTCACCTATGAGACTATTCACTATCATCCCATAATGATTGAAGTGTTCTCACCCAGGTTAAAAACATGGAAACTCTGCTTACAGGTTTCTTCCTTTTTTCTTCAGAGCGTCCGCTGCAGCCGAGTGTTTACCGTGCGTAGTTGTTGATGTCGTTCTATCCCTGCAGGCGCTGCAGTCCAACAATGCCAACCTGTTTATGGCTGGTGCAGCGGACCCCGAGGGGGACTACCAGCTGGACGTGGACGTCTCGGGGCTGATCTTCTCCCATCACCCGCTCTTCAGTCGGGAGCATGTCCTGGCAGCCCGGCTGGCTCAGCTGTACGACCAGTACCTCACCAGGCAGGCCAATAATCTCACCAGCCACCTGACTGACAAGGTGAGCGTCGGCAGGCTGTGTACACGCAGAAAGTGTTTCATGTGTAACAAAGCCCCGCTTGGCGTGTTTCCCGTGCGCTTTAGTTGAACGGGCTGAGGAGTGCTCTGCGCAATATACTTCAGATCCATGGCGGGGAGAGCCTCACTCAAGCCATGCTGCAGAGGATATCTGAGTACAGTCTGGAGGTTAGGTGAGCTCCCCAGATCCTCCAAGCCCCGTTCCAGAAACACGAACCCCCCCCGCCCCCCCTTTGAGAACCACGGCGAGCGTTATTCCCTCTCTGGTTCACAGGGAGACTCGGCAGCTCAGAGACAGTGAGCAGGAGAAAGACAGAACCCTGCTGAAGAACATGGTTAAGGTGTGGAAGGAGACCAAGGCCCTGAGGGACTTGCAGAAGTACACCAACACGCCCTATAAGCTCTTCCTCAGGAGGTAAATGTTTAAAATTAAGATTATTAAGATGTAACTCTAACAAATGCATGCTTGGAAATGTATGTGTCGTCCCATGATGATTCGTCACAAGGTTTCGATGCTCCTCATTGACGCGTTCTGTTGTGTGTCCGCCCTCCAGAGAGAATGTGGACCAGGCGTCCGATGAGCGGGAGCACGAGGAGGAAATCCTCTCTGAGGTTATGGAACGGGAGGCAGAGATGGAGGAGACTTACCAGAGGAAGCTGGTGGAGTACGAGAAGCAGCTGGAGGAGTGGAAGCTCTGGAGGAGAAGACAGGTGCCTACGAGAAACCGACCGGTAGATCGGCCAAGAGTTTACTGCACATATATTTAACTGGATAGAAACTCTCCAAAAAGCCTTTTGGATCAGCTGGAAAAAAGTGGTGATCCAATAATATGATGCATCCATGTGAATTATACCAGCAAGCAGTGTGTACATCTTGAAGTTCAGTTTTTTTTTTAATAAGAAACCCAAGATTTGTCTGTGTGTGCAGTTTGTTGGTTAAGTGTTTCTGTTTTAACGTTGTACGTACATTTATATAGCTGGCAGCATTTTGCCTGCTCATTTTAGTGTGCAAGCAACATTTTTTTTTTTTAAATAAATGTCTCTCATGCAGAAAATGAAATGCATTGTAACACACACACACATCTTATGTCCACTGTCAGAAAGCCAAAAAGAAGAAGAGAAAGAAGAGAAGAAGAAGAAAGCTCTGGCACCGGATGACACGGAGGATGATGATGATGATGATGATGAAGAGCGGGAGGCGAGCGAATCAGACGCGCCCGCTGAGGAAGGCCCCCCCAGGCCGGAGCCCCCGGAGAGGCCCGACGTGGCCTCTGTGGAGCAGCGGGTCAGAGCGAAGGCCTCCAGGATACGCAGGAAGCCCGGGGAGTCCATCCTGATCCCCGAGCTGTCGGCCTCTGGAAACATCACTGCCAGTGAACTCTGCCCCAGGTACGAGCAACCAGCCAGCGAGGTGACCGGTGCGCCTCAACTACACCGTGGTTTCATCACCCCCCCCCCCCCTCTATGTTGTAGGCCTGAAACGGCTCGTAGAGAGGACGTTTCCAAGCGCTCCCTTTTCATCAAGATCCTGTACAACAACAAAGAAGTCTCCCGGACGGACAGCCGCTCCCTGAACGCTGACTTCAGAGTCCACTTCGGACAGATTTTCAACCTCAAGATACTCAACTGTCCCCGAAGCATCAACTTGCAGGTGGAGAACGCCGACTCCTGCGTGGGCTGTATGCTCTGGGGCCGCGTCACGTGTCCCTCTAGTCTAAGGCTCTTTTGAGGTTTTCAAATGAAGCTCTCTCACATTTTATGAGCTCGAGGGGAACGTGGTAAAGTAAATGTAACTCATGGTGCTGTTAGATTGCTCACCGTCAGTCTGCCTATGTGCACATTTCAAACATGGTTTTCTTCAAAATGGAGAATCTCATTATTTTCTCGTTTGTGCGTGCGTGTGTGTGCGTGTGTGTGTGCAGCTGTTCGAGGAGCTCGGCTCGTCGTGCTCCCTCCTGGCTCAGGTGTTTCTTCCGGTTCCGGACCCCTCCGTGGTGACGGGCATCGTCCCCGTGGAGGAATACGAGTTCAGCAGCAACCAGCGAGTGATGTTCGACCACGAGGGCGTCGGCAGCGGTAAACTCCTCCCCGCCCGCCGCCCCCCCCCCCCGTTTCAACCATGACGTCTTTGTCTCTACGTGGTTCACAGCGGCCCTGTTTGTCCCCCGCCCACGTCCCCTCCAGATGTGCCGCTGTCCTTCGAGGCCGACGGTAGTAACAAGCAGACCCTGCTGACCTCGGGGAAGGTGTCGTGCTCTGTCTGCTGGGGGTCCGGGGAGGACGGCGTGCCACTGGCCCCTCCGGCGTCTCAACACCCCGGCGCCGTACACGGGTTAGGCCGCTTTGCTTCAGCGTTCAGCTTTGCTTCTACATCAAAGCTTATTCAGCAAAGGACGGATCTCGAATAACACTATTCTTCTGTTTTTGTTTAAGTAAAAGGAACATGTTTCGACTGCCTGTCTGACGTTATTATGGACATGAATATCTATGAAATAGGAAAGGTTTTGGTTTCATTAATAACATCTGGAGTAACAAGCAATAATACCGTCTTTGTACTTAAAAGTTTGCAAATCACGATGGAGATTTTTGATTCTTGAAAAGTCATTAAGATGGGTTTTTTGAGATGTGCTTTGAAATGTGCAAAGGTTGCAGTGTGCTGGAAGACTCTCCTGGGTAACGTGTTGCGTGTGCGGTCTAATCTCCTGTTTGAATCCCGTCTCTGCGTTGGCAGGGGTCCGGGACGCCTTGATGCGGTCACATTTATCGGGGCGTCTGGACTCTACGACATGAAGAAAATTGGCGAGTGGGCCACACAGTCCCGGCTGGACCCCAACGACCCCAAAAATGCCTCCATCATGCAGCTGCTGAAGGTGCGTATGACGATATAGTTGCTAGAACAAACACTTGGCTCCTGTCTCTGAACCTGTGCCCCCCCCCAGGTGGCCAGCAGTGGGGAGGTCACGGCCCCGGACTATTTCCGCCTGGAGCAGCTGCAGGAGGAGTTCAACTTCGTCCCCGACGAAGAGCTGGAGCGCTCCAAAAGATTCCGCCTGCTCCGTCTGAGGAACCAGGAAGTGGCGGAGTTTAGAAATTACAAGTTTGTTCCTGCTCTGGAGAAGGAGGTCGCTGACAAAGTGTTCCACGTGAGGCCTGGCGGGCGCTACGGTGGAGAGCACGATGGCGTGCACGTGGCTGAATGAGGCTAACTCTGGTTTCCTTCTTCCAGGATTATGAAAAGAGACTGAAAGAAGGAGAGACCGTGGACACTGAAGAACATCTGGATTCACACAGAGCTTTGGTAGCCAAATACCTGCAGAAGGTGAGAAGCTCCTTGAATGTCAATGTGTTCATTATCCCGATAGTTGGGAGATTTTTTTTCCCCTCGCTGTATTTTCGAGATATTGGATGTGTGTTTGTTGTGGTTTTCCAACAGATCCGAGAGTCGGTCGTCAACAGGTTTGTTCTCGCCAAGCATCACTTTCTCCTGTCCGACCTGGTGATAGAAGAGGAGATCCCGAGCATCGGGTATGTACCGCCATCGACTAGTCCCTCTTCGTCCTTGCCACTGTTCTTTACTGAATGCATCCTTTGCTCATTCCTCTCTTTGCATCGACCTGTTGCTGCTCGGTTGTGTTCTTTTTTTATTATTGAAAGTAAATCCCAAACTTCTCTGTTCCGTTTTTCTACATTTGTGACAGTGGTGCAGGTCCGGGGTATGACTTTCTTTCTTTTTCTCCCACCGCGTGTCCCTGGTTCTCCATTTAGTTTGAACCCTGAGGAATAGTTCATTAGCGACGATAGACCTTGTAGATCTTCAATTCCGCAGCTTATTTCACCAATTGTGGGATTTTAAGGGAGGTTTACTCAAAATATTATAATGAATCTTGAGTGTAAAATGACAAGATTTGGTAAAAATTCTACAAACTTAGTACTCAGATCCTTGACTTCAGTAAAAGTATTGTTGTAAAAGTCCTGAATCAATAAAGTTACTTGAGTAGTTTAAATGAGCAAATCGCTGGTTGTTGACTAAGTGGTTTCCGCCATTTAAGGATTCTGGGAGTGAACCTTTTCAAGCTGGCTGAGCCCAAGCGTCCGCTGAGGCCTCAGAGGAAAGAGAGGAAGAAGGTGACGGCTCAGAATCTGTCCGACGGAGACATCAAGCTGCTGATCAACATCCTGAGGGCCTACGACCTCCCCGTCCGCCGGCCGCAGGGCAAGTGAGTGCTCTGCGAGGGAGTGACGCCGGGGGTGACCTTGCGATTGTGATCGTTTTTAGAAGCGCAAATTTGTCTCGATGTTTTTTTTTTTCCCAGTAAAGCCGGACCGTCCCTGGGCGCCTCCCAGGAAAGCGATTGGCTCATGAGTCAGGTACAGCACACCTCACCGCCGCAGCCGACCGGCAGCACGTCATCTGCCTTCAGTAAGAGTGTTTTTTTGTGATTTGTCGTTAGGTGCAAGTGAGGCCCTTCGTGGAGGTTTCTTTCCAGCGCACAGTGCTTCAAACAACCACAGCCGACGGACCAAACCCCTGCTGGAACGAGGAGCTGCAGCTGCCGTTCAGGTGACAGCTGAGTTTCTTTTGTCTTGCTGCTGTTTTTGTTGCTACCGGCTGCTAATTGTGACCAATTGCTAATCTGCTCCATCCACTTGAATACCTTTTTGAAACTCGCTGACATTTAGAACTCTTCTTCTTGTCAGTGCTCCAAATGGCGACTACGGCGCTGCCGCCTTGCAATCAGTCAGAGACGAAGTCTTCATCAACATATTTGATGAGGTGGTCTATGAAACCGGAGTGGTGAGTGAAACATTTTTCTCTCTCGTGTTTTTGTTTTTTTTTGGCGCTTTTGCTCCATGACCGAGCCCCCCTTTGCTCCTCAGAATGACAAAGACCGCGGCAAATCCATACACACCCGGGTGGAGAAGCACTGGCTGGGCTCCGTCAAGATCCCATTCAGCACCATCTACTCGCAGTCACGGGTGAGATTCCCTCAGTGGCGGACGAGCGCGCGGGCGCCCTCAGCTGCTGACCGATCGTTTCTGCTCCGTCCGATAGATCGACGGGACGTTCAAGGTCAACACACCGGCAGTGCTGCTGGGTTACAGTAAGGAGCACAGCCACGGCTACAACAACGGCTACAACAGCGTGCGCGGCGTGAGCGACGGGGCCTTCGTCACACTCTTCATCACCATCGAGCCTCAGCTGGTGCCGGGCGAGTCGATCCGGGAAAAGGTGCGTCGAGGGTCGATGCTTTGTGCTTTGTGGTGCAGCTGGTCTGTCTCAGTTCATCAGAGTCCACCTCCTCTGGTCCCATCAGAGTCCACCTCCTCTGGTCCCCTCAGAGTCCACCTCCTCTGGTCCCCTCAGAGTCCACCTCCTCTGGTCCCCTCAGAGTCCACCTCCTCTAGTCCCATCAGAGTCCACCTCCTCTAGTCCCATCAGAGTCCACCTCCTCTGGTCCCATCAGAGTCCACCTCCTCTGGTCCCATCAGAGTCCACCTCCTCTCGTGCCATCAGAGTCCAACTCCTCTGGTCTCCTCAGAGTCCACCTCCTCTGGTCTCCTCAGAGTCCACCTCCTCTAGTCCCATCAGAGTCCAACTCCTCTGGTCTCCTCAGAGTCCACCTCCTCTAGTCTCCTCAGAGTCCACCTCCTCTGGTCTCCTCAGAGTCCAACTCCTCTGGTCTCCTCAGAGTCCACCTCCTCTAGTCTCCTCAGAGTCCACCTCCGGTGGTCCCCTCACATACGTAGGTGTAATCTGTTATCTGTTATCTCTTTCACTGTGTTCATTTGCTCTTCTGTTTGTGCTCCATATTTGCTTTGCTCTGCTTCTCACTAGATTATGGAGCTGAAGGTAACTGTCCACTCAACACCCCGATCCGTGTTTCCAGATCATTCCTGATCCACCATGCTTCGACCGCTGTGACCTTTTGACCCTTTCTCTGCGCAGTTTGACAGCCAGGAGGACGAGCGTCTCCTGCAGGCCTCGGAGAAGTTTGAGCGGGACGCGGCGCGGGACCATCCGGGCCGGCCCTGCGTCACCGCCGTCATCGACCTCAACGGGAAGACGGTCTTCGTCACGCGATACATTCACCCGCTCCACCCCCCCCAGCAGCTGCTGGACGCGTTCCCCGACAGCTTCCAGGACACCGCGGTCAGCCGCTCCCCCGGAGTGAACGCAGGAAGAGAACCGCCCGTATTCAGCGAGCGGATCAGATTCACTGTCGCCCCTCTCTCCCCTCCACAGAACCTGGTTGCCAGATTTGTCTCGCTCATCCCCTCTCTGCCGGACAGGGTGTCGTTCGCCGGCGCCTGCGACCTGTGGAGCACCTGTGACGTGAGTGAACCCTCTGGCAGGCGTTGTGATTTCAAGAGGAGGGAAGTGGAATCTCACTGGGATTCGTTTTTTTTTTTTTTTCAGCAATTCCTCACCCTCCTCGCGGGAGATGAAGAAGAACACGCCGTGCTGCTGTGCAACTACCTGCTGTCGATGGGCAGGAAAGCCTGGCTTATAATTGGCACTGCTATACCAGAGGTGTGTGACCTTCACCTATTCGCAGGAATGCCCCTACATGGAGTACAGATTTATAAATGTGTTTCACAATGTGCCGCCTTTGAGAGTCCTTCTGCAGTGGCTCTAATACCTTTTGTATTGTCTTTTATTTTGAAAGGGACCCACAGCATACGTTCTGACCTTGGAGCAGAACCGCTACCTGATCTGGAATCCCAGCAGCGGTCAGTTCTACCGACAGTACGACACCTTCTGCCCGCTGACAGTAGTCGGCTGCCTGGTCAACGCCGACAATGTGAGTGAAGATCAAACCAGCTAAATGGCATCAAATCGAGTATCGTTTCCTTTTCAGAATGCAGCAAATTCTTTTAACTAACTTTTCTTCCAGGTGTGGTTCAACGTTCAAGAATATACGTCGCCCATGACGATGAGTTTCGACACCACAAAAGCAAATTTGTGGAAGCCGTTCTTCTCCCGATCCTTCCCCAACCCCGGGCTGCCGAGCGTACAAGTCAGTGCAGAGCATTTAATAAATCATTTTGATGTTTGCTGTCATTGTCTTACCGTTTAACTCTCTCCAGCCCGAGGAGCTGGTGTACCGGCGCGCAGACAAAGCCGCCGCCGCCGCGCTTCAGGACAGGCAAGTTACCACCGCTTTGTCGCGGCCTCGATCACACACACGAGGCAGAACATTCACCGTCCCTCTCCACGCAGGATCGAGAAGATCCTGAAGGAGAAGATCATGGAGTGGCGCCCTCGTCACCCCACCCGCTGGAACCGCTATTGCACCTCCACCCTGAAGCAGTTCTTGCCCAAGCTGGAGCAGAGCGGGGGGCGGGACGTGGCCGAGGGTCACCGCCACGAGCTGCAAAGCCTCCTGGGAGACATCACGGCAAGTCTAAAACAGGACCGGGGGGGTCTCTGGATGACGTCATCAGTCATTAGTCCAACATTCCAATGATCTCCGACCGTGCTCATCAATGACACATGACTATTTTTATTCCATTCTCTTAGATCTCGGGGTTCCCCCTGCATCTGCCGTTCTCCGAGATCCGGCCCATCGTCGAGGCGGTGCACAGCACCGGGGTCCACAACGTCCACGCGTCAAACGTAGAGTTTGCCCTGGCCGTGTACGTGCACCCGTACCCGAATAACGTACTCTCCGTGTGGGTGTACCTGGCCTCGCTCATGCGCACGTGATAGACGCCCTTGCTGTGGGTCACTGCGCTGAGTGTTTCTAGATAAATGAGCTCTACCTTTAATTCAAAATGATCACTTGACACACCATTGCCAGGCTATTGTATATTTTATATTTATGTATATAATGGATGTCTTATCTTTGTATTACACAGTTACCAGTTTTATATCTGCATATGTCCAAAAAACGTCATTAAACACCACCTTTCTAAATATTGTCTTGTTGTACTTGACTGAGAATAACTAACTTCTTTCCTTAGCTTGTGGAGAAGTTTTAATATATTTTTCATCATTAAAATATATTCACAACATTTCATTAATCTATGTTGCCATTTGTGGAAGCCCTGAGAGGCAAGCAATGTGTAAGGGGGGTTTTAGGTATGTGCGTGTGTTTGATTAGTAACATACAAAACAGGCTGATCAGGCTGTGTATATTCCATCGACTTACAGTCAAAGTTAGTGTATCACTGTATCTTCTAAACACTCACCCGTGTTTTTACTGTTGGTACGTTGCATCACGGCCATGAGGACAATTCTCACTACTCCTCTTGGTTGGAAAACATTAGAATGAGGAGAACCCATTGGCCAGCGCACAGGATTTGACACAAATCAGGTTAGCGGCACCTCTGTGTCAAACGGATATCCAGCCAATCCCAGCGTTCGAATGTATCACGGGGCGGGTCTTACGAGGACTGGCCACGCCTCCTGGATTGGATGGTATCTGCGGCTGTGCGGCTGACGCACTGAAGATACCGTGTGTGTAAAGATGGCTCCCTTTCCGGACGAGGTGGATGTTTTTACCGGCCCACACTGGCGAATGAAGCAACTGGTGGGCCTTTACTGCGAAAAGGTACGTAATAATACAGGCCGGGCGTAGATATGGCGTTTTGAGAAAGTGAATACACGACGTTTGCTGTCCAACGGACGGGTGAACAGCAGCTAGCATGTAAGCTAGCTGGCGTCTGTAGCATTCAGCACATGAACTGTTGTGATGTCTGTTTGGCAGCTCTGTGGTTCTACTTTAGACATGTTTACTATAGTTAGCGTCAGTGTTTTGAATATATGTTCCGTTAGCCAACACTTTGCATCCGGTATTGTGTGACTTTTATTACTCTTTGAAGCACCAGTCCTCTACCTCGCTAACGCTTGCTAACTGGTTTTAGCTAACGTTAGCTATCTTACGAGACCGCTTGTCATGCAACTTGCTGTACGCGTCAAAACTCTGTTTTACCTGAAACTAACGGTGTAAAAATCCATTGGAGATGTTCCTGCGGTGTGTAGAAAGATTGAGATCAAGATAAACTGAGTTAACGAAATTGTCCAGCTTCACCAAAACATCCCCTGCTCCCGCTATGTGTTATAATTTTACAGTTTTTATTGCACTTTTCATATGTCAGTGTGGTTATATTTTATACACATCTATGTATATTGCACAACCATACAGTTCATTCAGTGTTTATTTATTTGCTTTATTTACACAACTGACACAACACGTGACTTTGTATCATATTTATTGGTCTTTACTTATTTTTACATATATTTATATGATACGCATACACCTGTTTCTGCGTACGTTGAAATCAAGTTCCTTGAAATGTGCAAACATACATTGTCGATGTACCCTGATTATGATAATGTGCTAATGATGTGACCTTTTAATGTGGAAATTGGTAAAAACCAAAAACATGTCGCACTGTGTGAACAAATTGTTCTTTGTTTTTCCTGCAGCTGTCAAAAACCAACTTCTCCAACAACAATGATTTCCGCTCATTTCTTCAGTCCCTGTGCGCCACCTTCAAGGAGTTCAAGATGCACGAACAAATCGAGAACAAGTACATCATCGACCTGTTGCAGCAGCGCTGCTGCACCGTGTACAACGTGCACTCCGACAACAAGCTCTCTGAGATGTTGTCCCTCTTCGAAAAGGGGTTGCACAACGTCAAGGTGAATAAGTGCTGCACCTAGATCTTACTAAAAGGAGAAATCGTGGTCTGCAGAGCTCAGCTGGTAGTTGCTCAATGGTCTCTGACTCTGTCATTGGAATAACTGTTATGTTGACAGACAGAGATGCAGTACAATCAACAGCATCAGGGTTGTTATTGTTTTCAAATATACAAGTTAAATGTAAACATCTATCTTTTTAAGATGTAGTTGGCACATTTTTTCCATCGTAATAAAACCATCCATAAGAAAGGTATTGTCAAAATTGTGAGAGCTTATAAACCTTAGATTTTAAGTACGAGAAGTCCTGAAGCATAAAGCACGGGGCTGAATTGTACAATAAAAGCAGCTTTGTTTCGTGATCTGATAACAACAGAGAAGAGTTCTTGTTCTCCATCAGGCAAATCAAAAATGTGGGACTTTCCATAAGGTCATCTAAATCTTAACTCCTGCTCTGTCCCGTCCGTTTTGAAACAACAGACAAGTCCTCATTTAGACCTTTCCTCAGAGGATGTTAGAATCTGGAAAAAGTTGTCGATCATAATAACCAGTTGTAAACCTCTAGCTAGCGGATCTAGTTATGAAAATATCAAACTGGTGGATGTTGTAGACGGATGAATTGATCATTTCTATGTTTTTGTCAGAGTGAATACGAGCAGCTTAACTACGCCCGGCAGCTGAAGGAGCGACTGGAAGCTTTCACACAGGACTTTCTGCCCCACATGAAAGAAGAGGAAGAGGTATATTCCTTATGAATGATAATGTAAACATCTTTTAGTTTATTTATTTTGTTGAATGCGTTCCTAAGTAACAAAGGAAAAAACAAACTCAAGGAAACAAGTGCTAACAGTGAAGCCGTTTATGAACTGAGGAGTCTTGTTGCAGGTTTTTCAGCCGATGCTCATGCAGTACTTCACCTACGAGGAGCTGAAGGACATCAAGAAGCAGGTGATCGCGCAGCACTGCAGCCAGCACCAATGGGACTGTGCCGCCGGCGTGCTGAAGGGCTTCAGCTTGTGGAGCCAGGCGGAGGAGCTGCAGAAGGCCTTTAAATACGCCGACCACGAGAAGGCCGATTACGGTGAGCGGATGGAAATCCGCCTCAGTCCTATTTTTAAATTGGTGAATTCTGCGTTTTGAGTAAGCAAAGTGCTTTTGTCATCGTCCTCAGACCTGGAAAAGAAGAGGAATTCTTCAACCCACATCTCCCAGCTTCCTCCTGAAATCATGCTGAGGCTCTTCCACTATTTGAGCCCCGAACAGCTGTGTCGCTGCAGTCAGGTGTGCAGCTCTTGGTCCAACCTGGCCAAGACCGGCTCCCTGTGGAGACACCTGTACCCCGTCCACTGGGCCAGAGGTAATGCCGGTCCTGTGCAAGTAAAGATGGTCCACTCAGCCTAATGATGCTCAACTCCGATTGAGCATGAGGTGGTTAACGCTCTTTGTTCTGTAGGTGATTATTACAGAGGCCCCCCGGGGGACCTGGACCAGGAGCCAGACGACGAGTGGGTGAAGAGTCGGCAGAACGAGGGTCGGGCCTATCAGGAGTGGGACGAGGACGCTGACGTGGACGAGTCCGGTAAGCAAAGAACCTCGCCGAACAGTTAAGCCACCAAATGAGTACTGAAATGTGTCTTTAACACACGTGTTCGCTGGGTAGTTCTTCATTCTTTATATTTGTTCATGGTGAAGCATCGTGACGGTTTGCCGGCCTCTGAAATATGAGCCTACAGATAATTCCTCTTCCGTGGTGGAATTTGCTTCATGGCCTTTTGTCGGTCACACATGTTGTCTTTTTGTACAAATGTTTTAAGCGTCTGTCGTTAAAAACACAATGCAAAAAAACTAACCAGACCGCAAATTGGATGCTAGTGTTAGCAGACACAAAGGTAGAAATAATCATTGATATAGTACCTTTAAAAAAAGATATTTACAAAGTGCTTCACAGTAAACACATAAAAGCAAATAACTTCATTAAGAGTTTAAAACAACAACGTCAGCGTTGCCAAAGACTGAATAAATAGTCCTCGTGTTCTTTGTCTCTGCAGATGAGTCGAGCCTCACGGGGAGCTCCGTGGCTATCGACACCGCTCAGCGAGAGAAGAGGCTTCTGGACGGGATCATCCAGAACCTCCTCCCAGCCGTGGGTCCGTCTGTCAAGTCCATCGTTCTGGCCTACAGCTCTACGGTCTCCAGTAAAATGGTAAACGGCGCAGAATCTCTACTTCGGCTCTCTAATCGCCCAGATTACGGACATTGCGCCTGAGCTGCGATGCTTTTTTTGTCCTCTTGTCAGGTGCGCCAGATCCTCAGCCTCTGCCCCAACATCACTCACCTGGACCTGACCCAGACCGCTGTGACCGACTGTGCATTTGACAGGTGAATATCAGAAGTCCTCCCAGTCAGCTGTATTTATCCTGCGTGTGGGCGGAACTCACTGCCGTTGCTCCCCCTCTTTCAGCTGGTCGTCTTTCGGAGCGTGTCTCTCCCTGGAGCACCTGGATCTGTCGGGGTGCGAGAAGATCACCGACCACACCATGAAGAAGCTCTCCGTCGGCCTGGGCGACCTCACGTCCTCCAGCTGCTTCGACCGGCGCTCCGACCGACGGGCCAAGCTTCTCAAGAGCCCCCCCATCCCCATCACGCTCACGGAGGAGAGGAACCTGCATTCGGCGGAGTGGCGGCGGCGGCGGCAGCAGCAGCGCCAGGCCCTCATTTTCAAGCCGGGGGGCGACCGCTGGGCCGCCGGCACCCCGACGCGAGTGTGGGTCCTGGACCCCTCGGACCTCGCCGACATCGAGGACGCCGCGGAGTGGGGCCGCCGCGGGGGGACGTCTGTCCCCGAGACGCAGCTGGAGGGGAGCTCGTGCTGCTGCCGGAGGAGCGGCAGGAGGCGTGGCGGGCACAGGACCGCCTCCTTCCTGCATCAGCAGTACGCCAGCATGTCGGGGGAAGTGTTCTGTGGTCACTCCACCTGCTGCGCTGGCGACGCGGCCCTCAGGACTATGGCTGGGCCGCGGTGCGAGTCGGGCTCCACCAGGAGCGGCGCCGCAGAGTTTCGGACTAAATGCTCCTCTTTCGGGGGCCTGCAGTGCCCGGAACAGGAAAACAGGACTGACCGGTCTGAGGCCGGGCGCTCGCTGAGGTTTCTCAGTCTCTCCGGATGTTTTCAAGTCACAGACCTGGGCCTGAGGTAAAGATCGCGCACACACGCGCTCCTGTTACACGTCTACATGGGACACTTTAACAGTTGATACGAGATGTTGGCGTCCTCAGAAACCGACGCGATGAATGACGGCGTCTTTGATCCGCTGACAAAAAGAAACTTCCGCTTTCTAAAACCACATTTCGTGGTCGCCGTTGTTGTTCTCGGTGCCAGCTGATAACCGAAGGCGGTGCAGCGGCCAAACCCGTGTGTCTCTTATCTTTGTAAACTCTGGCAACCTTCGAGTACACAGTCAAATGAAAAGGAAGAGACTCGGGTCACTGGGTTCCGTCGGGTATTTTTGAGATATTGTGGCGTAACGTTAACGTGGATGACCAGTGAGTGTGCACGTTGCAATACCTGTAACCGGGTGTTTGTGTGTTTCAGGGCTGTGTCGCAGCGGGGAGGGCTTCCTTTCCTGGAGCATCTCAACTTGTCCGGCTGCCTCTTCATCACTGAGGTGGGGCTGCGGGAGCTGGTGTCCGCCTGTCCTTCGCTCAACGACGAGCACTTCTATTACTGCGACAACATCAACGGTAACAAGTGACACCGTAGCAGCCTGGCAAGTTATTGGCAAGTTATTTTTGCCAGTTAAAGCTGCCCAGGAGGAAGATTATCTCATCATCACGGCCGTGAATTTCTGCAATGTGAAGTTGTACGTTATAAAGACCTGGGTGACAAAAAGTTTACTGATTTTAAAAAACAGTTTTACTAGATTCCGGTAGACTTTTAGATATCACTGGTGGTTCGTAATGGTCTGGCCCGCGTTCGGTCGAAGTGGGCTGCATCTGGCCCACACCTGATTTGAGTTTTAGACCCCTGCTCTAAATAGTTTATTAAATGAACATCATGCTGTATTGAAGAAGACTTGAATCTAGAGATTGAGACCATAAACATGTTTACTGAGGGAAGAAATCAAGAGCAAAGTTTCTTATAGACGTCTATGGGACCCGAGGAGTCGCCCCCTGCTGGTCACTACAGAGGAGTGCAGCCTTGAACTGGCATGTTGCCTGCTGCCTTTTTTATTTTGTGGTGAACTGTGCCTTTTTTAAAAACCATTGTGATTTTAAAACCTGTTGCGAGCACGTTGATCTTAATGTGTTCCAGCTGTGACAATCTTCCTTACCCAGCTGCATAGCATGTGTCTTAGTGTAAGTAACAGGTGCATCTGAGGTGGAAGGTAAGTAGGCATTACAGTAGCTGGTATGACGCCGTCAGTATTCACTTTCATTTTATTTACGCATTTAAAAGATACCGCTCTTTGAGAACATGATTTTATTCTATTCCGTGTGTCCCGTCGCTCGTCGTCCAGTCGGTGACCACCGCACTGTGTTTCTCTGCAGGTCCTCACGCCGACACGGCCAGCGGCTGCCAGAACCTGCAGTGTGGCTTCAGGGCCTGCTGCCGCTCCGGAGAGTGACCCGGCCACGCGGCGCCTTCCTCGATACAAATAATATCACCTCTCCCTTATTATTGCACTTTATCCTGGGAAAACCGGTTTCTGTATATCTGTCACTTCAAAAATGTTTCTGGATGAAACTAATTATTTTCTTGCTCTTGTCATTTACATCTAATATTAAATGGGAATAATCTTTTATAGGAAAGGAAAACACAAAGGGGTGGTGATGGATTTGAAGTGAAAATAAAAACTAGTGAAGCGTAACCACCAAGTACCGTTTTCTGTAGTTAAACCATGTTTATTTTCTCACGAAGTTGATTCACTCTTCTTCTCCACTGCCGTCTGCTTTGTTTTACCCTCACACCAACATGCGCTCGTCATCAGTTAATAAACCCTCATTTACCGTAGAGAGGAAAAAGTTGGTCGAAGTGAACTTGGACTGTGTTACCTCGACGATGGCTTCACCGTTGATGTACGGCAACCATTCCATTACGAGAAAGATGTACAAACATGAGAATCGCTACACAAGAGTAGTTTTAACCACCAACACAGATTTAATTTCTTTATACACACCAATGCTGAGGCTAATAAGTGGACCAATGTTCACATGTGAGGGATTTTTAATATACGCTCATTACCGAAAGGGGAATAATCCACTTCAGACTTGTCTTCCGCTTTCATCACTCTGCAGCAGGATGCATTTCCTGGTTCAAAAGTTGTGCATGAAGTATTCTGTTAAATTCATGAACAGACAAATAAAGTTCTCTTGGGGCTAAAAGCATGTCTTTTTTTGTTTTTGTGAACACAATTTAGCAACGTCAAGGTTGATAAAGCCGGTGAGTAAGAGAACAATCTTTTTCTGGAATATTATAACCTTTCTGTTTAGTGTTTATGACTTAAGGAAAGTTAATGTTTCTGTGAATCAAATTTTCTCGAAATCCTATTTTCCTACTTTTCACTAGTATGAAAGCTCACAATGAAAATCTGGCTCCCTTCAACATGCCTATTAAGTATATGTGAAACAAGAAAACGGTGTTGCTCAAGTGCAAAACAAATTCTCATAAAAGGGATACAATTATAACCATAGTAATATACATGAAATATTAATTTGAAAATTAATTCTGTATATTCATAATGGTAACAATCTAATATTTCCATATATACATTTTATATATCATTTTTTTAAATGATGTATACATATGTTTATAATGAAAGTATATCCAATAATCGTATTTTTCTTACCATCAAGAATAAACATTCACAATATTTGTGAGTATATATTTTTATTTTTGAGGTATAGTAATAACTATATAAAGGGTATTCAATAAAGAGATTTCTATGGTCGCTAACGATTGGCTTGTGGTTGCTATGGGAAATGTCCACAGCAACAGTTAGGGGTGGAGACTCCATCCAACGTTTCCCCCTAAAAGATGACGGACAGCTGTATAAACCAATCCACGATCGAGAACTGCGAAGGCGGCCAATGAAACCGCGGCAAAACGATGGGACCGTAGTTAGATAGAGAGCGCACGGGCAGAAGCAAGTTACCAGAACCTCGGCGAGACAGCAGCGAAAAAAGACTAATGGTGAGGCCAGTATTTACATATACGCCCATTTAAATACCGCCAACTACCGAAGCAAGCTCTCTTAAATATGTCCCGCATTCTTGGGTTAGCTGACAAAACGTATATTTTACGCGGGGCGGTCTGCCATCTTCGTGTGGTGTTAGCTGCTATGTAACGGTAACGTTAGCTATGCTGCTAACGGTCTGTTGTGTGCTGTCCAACGTCACGGCTAACACACATGAACCATAGTGTGTATTCACACACACACACAGGACTACCTAAAATAAATATATGTGTGTACTCCAAAACTAGCTAACCTACGTGGTTTCTGTTTGGGGAAAGATAATCGATTCTAAGTGGTTATTAATTGATGTTGAATCTGCAAAAGATAAGGAGAAAATAATTTGCTTCCATGTTTACACTAACAAAGGTATATAGATTCATACAGAATTGCAATATTTAAAATTGGTCTCCCGCAAGATATATTGTATTATATAATAAGAATAATATCTGATGGATGTAATAGAAAAAGCTTTACTTGCTGCTCATAATTTTATTGGTGGCAAAAAAATAATAACTTGATCTTTACTGGAAAAACTGCTCACCTGGAAAAGTTAGACAAGGCCGGTGGGCGCAGTGGAATAAATAAAGGCTCTCTGTGCAGACCCAGCACGAGGAGCCGGCCATTCCACTAACATGGACAAGTACGAAAAGGTGAAGAAAATTGGCGAAGGTTCATTCGGAAAGGCCATCCTCGTCAAGTCCAAGCAGGATGGACGCCAGTATGTCATCAAGGAGATCGGAATATCAGCGGTAAGCTCCTGCCAGAGAAGTGGCACAATCTCCACCCGTCACTGTTAACGTGAGCTCCTTCGCGCCGCCGTCTCTCTGGTCCGTATCTTTCTGCAGATGTCCAGTAAAGAGAGGCAGGAGTCACGGAAAGAGGTCGCCGTCCTCGCCAACATGAGTCATCCCAACATTGTCCAGTATAAAGAGAGTTTTGAAGGTATCCGTTCAGTTCAAAGATCTCAGCCAACAAGCTGATGGAACCACGGGCGTAACCTCCTGACGTGAGCTGTATATTTTGGGAATCTCTTCTAACCCGTTTTTTCTTCAGAGGGGGGCTGCCTGTATATCGTGATGGACTACTGTGAGGGTGGAGACCTCTTCAAGAAGATCAACACTCAGAAAGGAGTGCTATTCTCAGAAGAGCAGGTACGCCGCTCTCTGTCATGAACATGCGGACTGAATTTATCCCATTAACTCTTTAGCTTAGTACCCCTTCTTATGAAATCTATGCAGACCCTTTTAATGTTGTTCAGCCACTAGAATTAAAAATGATGTGGATAGGAAGTGGATCCTGTAAGATGTGCTTCTCCATCTTCTCCTCCTCAGATCTTGGACTGGTTTGTGCAGATTTGCCTGGCGCTGAAGCACGTGCATGATCGGAAAATCCTCCACAGGGACATCAAATCCCAGGTATTTCTTCTTCAAACCGCACGCTCTTCCTGCCGATTTGTCCTGTGTTCACACCGACTTTTCATCACGCCCCCATAGAACATATTTTTGACAAAAGATGGGACGGTGCAGCTCGGAGACTTTGGCATCGCGAGAGTGCTGAACAGGTGCGTGAAATGTCACCTGAGTGTATTGGCCGAGATTTGGGAAGAGTGCCGCGTGATACCGTCCGTTCTCTTCCCCTCCTCGACAGCACGGTGGAACTGGCGAGAACGTGCATCGGCACGCCGTACTACCTGTCGCCTGAGATCTGCGAAAACAAACCGTACAACAACAAAAGGTAGCGGGGTTCTTGGTGTTCGTCTCACTCGTGGCGTGAATTCATGTTTGATTGTAACCCAACACACTGCGAGTCGTGCAGACTTGGGTCGTTTGCTTCCGGGGGATGTAACGGTGTCTCGTCTCCTCTTTATTGAGTGAACCTGCCTGTCGGGCGCTGCATCAGGATGCTGGTATCGATTTCCTCTTGAACCGCTTTAAATGTGGGTGTCATTTAATCCACTTTAGTTAAAACCGATGAAGTAAATTTAGCAGCAACTCCATGTCCATTTAAGGAGTGACATGACTGGTGTATAAGTAAAAAACAAGGAGATTTATAGATATCCGCATGAAGCTTCAGTTCTTTACATTAGTTTTTCTTATTAAATGTGTCATTAAACATTTTAAATAAGCTAATTTTCATACATTTGTGTAAATGTGAAATTGTCACCAGCTCATCCCTCCCATTAAGAGGATTATTTTTGGTATTGAAGGTATTCTGTAATATTTAAATAAACAAATGAGGCATTATCCAATGATACATTTTGGTGAATTTAGAAGGAATCTACAGACAAAGTCGATAAATATGTTTTATTTCTTCTTGTCTGAGAGAAGAGGTGTCAAGCAGTGTCTCCCCTCACCGATGAAGAACAGGGAGTCTTCGCCAGTGAATGTTGAGGCTTTATTGATTGAATGTGAACCCTGAACTTACCCCGGTCTGTTTGCCCCCCTCCCTCTGCAGTGATATTTGGGCCCTGGGGTGTGTCCTGTATGAAATGTGCACTCTTAAGCATGCTGTAAGTATTCAATGTGTGTGCGTGTATTCATTCATGCAGATCTCATGTATCTCTCACCTCTGAGCTCCGTTTGTACGTATCCGGCTTCTCGTAATAGAATCTTTACCGTCTCGTTGTCTCAACCACGTAGTAATTAACTCGCTGGACGCTAAGCTGCTCTCTGCGGCCTCGATCTCACTACAATAGAAAGGTCTTACACCTCTATGGAGACAGCCGTTATGGACGAAGAGAGGACCCAAACACGTCTTTAGTAAAGAATAAAACCATCATAATGATACTAATTGTTTGTTTTTTGGAATTTCTTTTATAAAAATTGTAAAACAATGACAATCTTTTCATCCAACATTTCCCGACCAATGTTAAAAAAAAATATATAGGTTCCAAATGTTTGATATAAAACCATTGTCTTCCTCCTCAGTTCGAGGCCGGTAACATGAAGAACCTGGTCCTGAAGATCATCCGCGGCTCGTACCCCCCCGTGTCCGTCCACTACTCCCAGGAGCTGCGCTCCCTCTTGGCGGCGCTCTTCAAACGAAGCCCCCGGGAGCGGCCGTCCGTCAGCGGCGTGCTGGACAAACCCTTCCTGACCTGCAGGATACAAAGGTTCCTCACGCCTCAGGTGAGGGTCGCGCGCGCCTGACGCGACGCCACGGCCTAAATAACACGCGTGTTCTCTGGACGATTGCAGGTCATTGCTCAGGAATTCCGCCATAACTTTCTTCACAAGCAGCCTAAAGTGGGTTCGGTGCAGGGACCATCAGGTCAGCAAGTGCTCTTCTTCTCTTGTTCTACTAAAGACAAATACACTTTTCCTCTAAGTAATCTCGTATTCTTAACTCTGGTGACCAGCCAAGCGTCCCGCCCCCGCCTCCACGCCCCTCAACCCGTCCCACAAGATCACCAAACCAGCCAGCAAATACGGAGTGCCTTTAGCCGCGAGGAAGGTGTCTGATGCAGCCCGGAGGCCGGCTGTGAAGCATAAAGCGGTCAGTGGTCCTGCCGTCTGTTACGTCGTAGTGAGTCGGCGACCTCTGAACCCCCGGTGTCATATGTTGCTTAGGCTCCTCACCCTGCAGCCCCCCAGAGAAGAGGGAGTCAAGTGGAGGAAGAGAGGAAGAAACGGGAGGTACAGCAGAGAGTTTTACTGTTAGATCCCCCTGCCCCACCCTCCCAACCTCCTTGTTCTCTCAAATGAAGCTGTTAGTCAACCTTTGCCCCATCCCCCGGCCGGTGCTGCTGCCTCGAAGCGCGTTTCTTTAAGATGATTCGTCTTATTTTGAAATGAGCTGCTTTCGTCCTCTTTCAGGACGTCCTCAGGAAAAGCGTGGAGCTGATAGAGAAGGAAAGGAAGCGGAGGGAGCAGGTGGGTGCATTGGTGTTAGTGTGTTTGAGAGACGAAACCATCTACTGGAGTATCTACAGCAAAACACAGACTCTACAACCTCACTTCATTTAATGCAAACCATCCCTGAAGTCCCTCTGTGTCTGCTGGAAGTGTAACAACAGCTTCTCCTGCAGGTGTTCCTGCTGAAAGCGGAGCAGATGAAGAGATACGAGAAGGAAAAGGTAGCCGGTGGCTGTCACGTCTCTTTTCCTCCATGCGACGAGTCATTCCTGTAGTAGTAAATGTTAAATAATGACGAGCCTTCGATCTTCAACAGATCGATCGTATAAACCAGGCCAGAGAGCAGGGCTGGAAGCACGTCCTGAGTTCTAGTGGAGGAAGCAGCCCGGAGAGGAAGGTAGCAGACGCACATTTTGGGATTCTTTTCGTGTCGTTCAGCTTCTCCTTCAAGCCGTCCCGTTCTTCTGTTTGCTCAGTGTTTTGCAGGTGGTGGAAAGGTGTTTGTCCCGACCTCCGTCCAGGGTGCAAGCAAAACCCCGTACGAGCACCACCACGCTGCCCTGGACCAGATGGCTAACCTGCAGGCTAAAGTCCTCCGCAGGGAGGGGCCCTCAGCCGGACCGGGGAGTCCCACCCGGTAAGCTCAGCGCTCTCCGCTAGTTTATTTTCTGTGTGTGTGTGTGTGTATATTAAACCCCTGTTTTAATGCCCCCCCTTCCTCCCAAACACGCTTCTGTTTCGTGAGCAGCGTCCCGGTGCTGCCCAGCGGCCCCGCCCGGCTCCTCAACTGCGACGCCATCAAGAGGGAGCTGCAGAGGCTGCAGCACGTTTCCAAACCAGCACACCTCTGTCGGTGGGCGGAGCGGCGCGCACACACACGAACACACACACACACACACCTGGGTTTGAACTCTGCGGCCCGGTTGTTGACTGCGGTGTTCTGTTTTCAGGCCGCGGGGTCACGCGGCTGCTGGACGGGCCCATCAGGTTGAGGAGTTTTTACAGCGGAAAAGAGAAGCCATTCTCAACAAGGTCCGTGCTGAGGGACAGCTGGTACGTAGCCAGACTTTTACTGTCACTTTTTATGTACTTATTTATTTATTCGCTATTGAGCGTGTTTCTGGAACCACACTTACCCCCCCCCTCGCTCACCAGATGTTTCTATATACGATTAAACTTAAAGGCGTTTGTAGGTTGTTGTCAGTTTCAGCTCTCGCGTGTCAGACTCCCTGCCGTTAGCTACCTGGTTAGCATAAGTAGCATTGAGCCAGAGAAATGAGCGAGTCGAACATACGAGAGGCCAGAAAGACTCTGAAATAATCTGAATGTAGTTTTTCTGATTCTTTTTTCTGCATGATTAGATTTATAGCCATATTAGGTGGCAGTGTGGCTTCGGCCGGCATCATTGTGCTATTCATGCTAGAAATTAGTAGCTCGCACTCACCTCAGTGAAGAAAAGCTTGAAAAATGCTTTTGAATAGACATTTTAGTGACAATTAAGAATAACTATCCCTCAGGACCCCCTGATATTATCCTCTTGGGGCTTTTAGTGTTTTGACGTATTAATTAAGTACTCCACATTTCCCTCCCTGATTAGCTTTGACTTCCTTTAATTTATTAATGTAGATTTATTGCTGCAGGGTAGGAGGCTGATGGGAGAGATTCATCCGTACGGATCAATCAATGAGCTAAAATACTGTGTAGGGCTGCAGAGGTGGGCGACGCTTATTATTATTATTATTATTAATATATTTCATTCAACGCTGCCTCCCGCTCCGAGCTCATGACTGTCGTGCCAGTTAGATGTTGAGGGGCTCCGTCCTTCATTTTGAAATGTTGAACGGTAACAGGGCACTCGGCACAGCCCGGCAGCAAGTCACGGAGGCCGGGCCGGCTCGATTCGGTCCAGGAGACCCAGAGGCAACAACGAGGAGGAGGTATGGAGCCTTCGCAGTGCTTCTCACTCCCCCCCCCCCCCCCCTCCTCACAGCACGTCTGGCTTCTGGCTCATCTTCCACCTGCCTCCTCGACACTCCCATAATGCAACCCGGCAGCTCAAACCCATGCTCGCCTTTGTTGCACGACCACCGCGTCCACCGTTTATTTTGCCTCCCCGATGTCGTTTGTTTGTCGTGCCCCGTCTCAAATATGCACCGCAGTTCAGAGTGCTTCGTCGCAGCCTTTTCTGTTGTTGCACATGGACACGTTCATCTTTATTTGTGGGCTGCAGAAATGTGTTCATGTTCAGATGTTGTCGTCACACTGTGTTGTGGGTAAAACGCTGTGAATGTGTGATGCGTTCTAACATCTCGCCGTGTGTTCTCAGGAGTACCTGTCGAGGCTGAGGCAGATCCGACTGCAGAACTTCAACGAGCGTCAGCAGATCAAAGCCCGGCTCCGAGGAGAGAAGGTACGGCCCTCCGCTCCCTCCCTCCGACAGCAAACTTTTAATTGGTGGGTTTTTTTTCACTTCTTCTCTTAACATTTGGTGGGTTTTCTCTTCAGTACGACAGCGACGGTTCCGACAGCCAGGAGTCCAGCGAGGAAGCGGAGCAAAGGAGGAAGAAGATCGAGGCTTTAAAGGTGAGTCGGGTCCACGTCTCGCAAGGTGCATACACGCGACACATTGACAAAATGAGGTGTAATAAAAGGTCTGTTTACTGTCACTGTGCGTGTCATAGTTCCTTTTATGCTACTCGAGAGAAGCAGAACAAAACAGCCCTGTGGTGCATTTTTGAATTTGCATCAGAATGGAAGTGCCGTAAATTCCGGACTGTAAGCCGCTATTTTTTTTCCCCACGCTTTGAACCAGCAGCAGAAACTGGTGAATTCTTTAGGCAGATAATACGGCCGGCTTCATAACGTTGCAAATGATGAAGATCAATTTATGTCCAGTGAGATCCACAAACAAGCTCACTCTTCTTGCACTCGTCATTCATATTTGTGAAGAGATGTTTGAATAATTGCACGACACGGCGTGAATACGCTTTGAAAAGCCTCCCGTTCCCCCACGCACACGTTTAAACGCAGGCCCAAGCCAACGCCCGCGCTGCCGTACTGAAGGAACAACTGGAGAAGAAGAGGAAGGAGGCCCAGGAGCGGGAGAAGAGAGCTTGGGAGGACCATGTAAGCTCTCCTTTTCCTCTTTCCTTCCCTTGCTTGTCCTAACCGGTGCGTCGCTGTAGTCTGATCCTTGGTACTGTGTCTCGTGGAAGCTCGCAGCTCGGGGGATGAAGGTCGGCATCGCGGCAGCAGAAAACGTAGCCGCAGCGTCTTCGTCGTCTACCTCCGACGGTCCTCTGCCACAGCCGAGTCCCTCTCCGCCAGAACCGGCTGCCAAAGCGCCGGCCCGGCCTGCAGCCATATCCATGACGGCCGCCCTGAAGAACGTCGGAGCGGTCCGTATGCATTTAAGCCAGCTGGGTTTCTCTGCTCTGAGATCATAATGAAACACTGAGTGGATAATTTGAAATATGTATATTTTATTTGTCCTCGGTTGAAAATCGGTGTCGGCGCAGTGTGAGATTAGATGGAGCGTTTCTTTTGATTCACTGTACTCCTGAGCCACATCGTTTTAGTACTTTGTGTTTCACAGATTACTCCTCTGAAAGAAAAGTCACCTGAGCCGGAGAAAACCACAGTCATCCAGGTGTGTTCATGAGTATGAATAATAATTACTACATTATTACATGAACAGCGTGTGGAAAGGCAGGAATTCAGATTCCACCCTGAGTCTAAAAAGATAATTCTACTAAATTCCCTTTGTGTGACAGAGTGAGAAGAGGCAGATTCTGCGCCGACTCAACCAGAACCTGAAAGCCCAGGGCCTGGGGGAGGAGGGGGAGGAGTCTCTTCAGAGCCCCGCCCCCCAACAGAACCAGCCTGCCGCAGAGACACGCCCCCCTTCGAATGGAGACCGGAAGAAGTGGGATGCGGCAGAACTTCCTGTGCTTCCTGCGGCTCAGCTCACCTTAGAGGAAACCTGTAAGTCCAGCCGAGCTCAAGCCCCAATTATTAAATATTAACTTTAATCAAAAAATTTCATGGAAAAAAAGTTTAAAATATTAGCTTGAAAATGGTCATGGAAAAATACTATAAATATATTAGTTGGAAAAATGTAATTGAAAGAAAATCGCAGCCTGTTCAGCTGAGTTAGTTTAATTTAACTTAATTAAGGAGACACTCGTTTGAGTGGAATCACATTATTGCTTCTGTTCAAACGGCTCTGTAAGAACTTTTCCCTCGTTTCCTCAGCAGCCTCTTCAGCGTCTCCAGATGATGGACCGTGTTCTGCAGGAGACCGGAGGAAGTGGGAAGCAGGAATTCCTCTCGTCCTCTCTGTGGCCCAACAAACTCTGGAGGAGACGTGCATCAGGACCATCGGTGAGTGACCTTTGACCTGAGGAGGCAGAGAATCACCTCGGCCATGAACCGCCTTTCTCTCTGTCTCTGTGTGTTTGTCTCAGAGCAAACGGCGGGGGAAGTCATACGGATGGCCGCGCTGCAGGAGGAAGCTCCTCGGAAGGTGTGGGGAGCGAATCCGGACCCTCAGGTGCTGAGAGTTCTTCAGGAGGCGGAGCTTCAGCCTCTCACGCAGCAGCTGGAGGGCGTCGCCGCGGGCGAGATCGCCAGCCCCGGTCAGTCTTCATTCAGTCTGTCTCGTTTGACTCAAAGGTGCTTTCATTTGGACTTGTGCTAGTTTAAGAGATTCACTCACTCACTCTGATGATTGTAACTTTATTCATGAAGCACTTTTAAAAGAACAGTAAGAAAGTTTTCTGGCAAAGCAATAAAACAACAGACAGCTCAACAGTGAGACAAACTAAGATTCAGACACTGGTTAAATAAATAGAAGATCAACGCAATAATAAAATATTAATAAATGGCATAAATAAAAGGATGATTAGAATAAAAAAACAAGAATGAAATAAAGACTCTCTGTAAAAATGTGCTCTCCTCAGATAAGCCCGACCAGGCAGCAACACCGGCGGTCATGAAGGCGTCAAACGAAGAGTTCTCCTCGGTACCGAGCCCGGAGGTCCGGACGGCCCCCACCTCAGAGGCAACTGTGGCCGACGAGGAGAAGAGAGCGACTCCGATGACAATGCTCAGCGAGGCTCAGGGTGACGACCGACAGCTGCACAAATACACATTTGTCACTTGTTGCCTGTAATCGAACACAAAGTTCACGAGGAGCTTCACGTTGAACGGTTCTTTTTTCCACTTTACAGCACTCTGATACACTTGTATTGTTCTTAAATATCCTCTATACTTAAAACGAAAGCATATTTCAGCCCTTTCTGGTCTGAACCCGTGCAGATCCAGCGGACGTGGAGTCGGTGGTTCTGGATGAGAAGCCCAAACCGGCCCGGCGTCCTCCAGCCGGCGTGCAGCAGGCCTGGGGGCCGGAAGCCCAACAGCCCATGTAACCTTTGCTCTTTTGTTATTGGTCATAACACAGAAAGAAATCAAATGTGTGAAAGATCCATTTGCTATGCTTGCGTTTAGAGACGTGTGTTTCCATTCCAGGCCACCAGAGGGCGTAGCGACACCAGCCGGAGAGGCCGAGGGGAGTGCAGAGAAGCCCTGCGACCCTCCGGGGGAGTCCAGTGGAAAAAAGAATTTTTTTTTTTTCCGATATCTTATATAAACTCCCCCCCCCCCCCCCCCCCCCTCTGCCAGCCTCGGCTCACAGCGAGGCGCCCCTGTTCATCAAGCTGTGCTCGCCGGCCCACCGGCGCACCGCCGCGCTGGCTCTCCTCTCGGCCCAGTCCTCCGTGGACGAGTCCTCCTCGTCCCTGGCGTCGCGCTCGCGCTCCGTCTCCCCGCTGCGCTCCAAGCACCACGACGCCCTCCTCATCGGCCTCTCCACTGGCATGTTCGACGCCAACAACCCCAAGGTGACAACGCTTCGTGGGCAAAGGCGTCACGTGATGGGATCCACGGGGGAGGGGGAGGGGGGGTTGCGTTGCCGCTGCAGAGGTCGAGGAGATTGTTGTTGGTGTGATGTCGGGACTTGCAGAGTAGTTTCAGGAGGAAGTTCAGCCTTCTTTATTAATGAGGGGCTGTGGAACAGACACAGGGCCATTAATCACAGGGCTGAAGCTGCAGTGGGTCCGATAGGACGAGGAGAGCATCCATCAACCTAAATCTGTCATAACCTACACACACACACACACACACACACACACAGGGAGCTGCACAGAATGAACACTGTGCTTCTTTAGGGTCTGATGCTATAAAGATATAACGGTACATTTGACATTTCTTTTAGAGCAACTATTTCAATCATTTGAAGCTGGATCAATTAATAAAATGATCCTTTATCAGTCTCACAGGGGTATTTGAGTACCACAGCAGCACATTTAATTATAAACAAGTAATCGAACAATTTGCAGATGGCAGCTCTGTCTTAAACCATTAACATTGAGTCACGACTTCCTCTCGTTCAGATGCTGCGGACCTGCTCGCTGCCCGACCTCGGCCGGCTCTTCAGCCCGCGGCAGGACTCTGCAGTGGTCGTCGGGGGCGACGCTCACGTCGTCCCCGACGACCACCTGGAGGTCGAGGACCTGGAGGACGCGGCCAAAGACGACGATCAGTCGGAGACCGAAGAGTAAGTGGGGCAGACCGCTGCGATCTAAAGATGGCCGCCCGTTTTTCATAAATGTCTAGTTTTGAATCGGTGTCTTTTCAACATTCTGATCGTTTTCGTTTCATACTGCTGAGGAACGATTGTCGGCGTTCTGCGTTCGATAAAACTTGACCCCTGTTCCCCAGTGCATTTGAGGATGAAGACCTGCGGGACATCCGGGCCTCCATGGAGAGGCTGCTGCATGAGGAGGGGGACATGATGAGGACGAGCTCTCAGGGGGACGCAGCAGGAGACTACAACGGGAACCCCCCGGAGGAGGAGGAGGAGGAGGAGGAGGATGAAGAAGAAGAAGAAGAAGAACGGGTACTCTTCAACAGGATTGCTGCTGAGCTGGACGAGGACCACAATCAGATGGCCGTTGACGACGACGATGGAGAAGACGACGAGGAGGAGGAGGAGGAGGAGGACGAGGAGGAGGAAGACGAGGAGGACGAGGAGGAAGGCTCGAATGGCAGTCCCAGTGACGAGGAAGCAGGCGAGCTGCTGAACAACGGTGTGGGGGGGAACCACAGTAACAACAGCCGGCTCAATGAGGAGTGGCAGTCGGGTAAGAGGAATGTTTGCGAAAATAAAAACGTATTAAAGTATTTCTCATCAGGCTTATATGTTATTGTGAAGCAGCCAACGTTGTACTTGGAATATTTTCAGCTCTTTACTTTCACGTCAGACAGAACTGAAGCCGTTCTCTTTGAGCTCTAAAAGACACCAGACTTCATTCACAAAAACAGGGACTTTACCGCTCAAATCACAGGAGCTGTTAGTGTGTTCGTGTCATTGTGTGTTGCTCGTTGGGATAAACTCACAAAATAACTAAGATTAATTCAGTATTCAGCAACTCTGTGAGCCGAGAAGTGAAATCCTTGTTTTTGTGAATGGAGTCTGGTCTCTTTAGGGGGTAAAGAGGTTACGTGTTCTAAATGTAGCGCCCCTTTCGGCGTGAACGTCTAACCAGTGTGATAACCGGTGCCGCCCCACAGACGGCAGCGGGGAGGAGCAGGACGGAGGGGCCGCGCACCACGACAGCATCTTCAGCCGCCTGGAAGAACTCCGCTTCGATCTGGAGCAGCAGATGGGCTTTGAGAAGTTCATCGAGGCCTACAACAAGATAAAGGTACCGAAGGAGCCCCGATCCGTCTGAGCGCTTCATCACGGCAGCGCGGGACTCTTAAGGACGCATGTTTCTTTTTTTTCTTTTTTTAAGGCTTCACATGAAGACGAAGACGAGAGCATCGACCTTGGCTCCGGTTTGGTGCTGAACATTTTGGGAACCGAGCACCAGCACCTTTACCCCAACATCCTCCACCTGGTGATGGCGGACGGCGCGTACCAAGAAGGTCGGTGACGTTTCCTTCACGACTCGTCATTCGTGTCTCTGAAAAGGTCAAAGCGAGCGTTTCTTCCGTCTTTCCTCACACTGCTACCGAGTCATGTCGATGATACCGAGGCACTTCTTCTTCTCTCTTTGTGCCGAGTCAGCTGTCAGAGTCGAGCGCGTGGGGGGGGGGTTCTCTTGAGTTTGAGACAGCTCTCCCTCAGCATGACAACCGTCTTCAGATGCGTTCTCTCACTGAACTGCTCTGTTCAGCGACTCTATTTTTACCGGCTTCTGAAGGAGAAGCGGGGGATGTGTCATAAATGTCAGATCAGTCCCTGCAGGGTTCCGCTCTGAAGCCGTGAAGGTCCTGCAGGCTGCGTCATCTACAGCGAGCTGCGTTCTGGAGCCATCGAACCGGGACTCATTCCCTGTGGCGACAAACGGATACGCAATAATAATAATAATGATATTTACAAAATGAATATAATGTAAATCAATGCAAACTCTGCTAACGTTAGCTGCTAGCTACCATGGTTTAGCCAAAAAAGACTGGGCGGGCTACCGGCTGCTAACGGCTAACGTTAGCTAGCTCAGCTCCACAGGTTTGTTGTAGCGTTATCAGGGGAGAAATATGCTGAACCACGATGTGTAGTAATACTTCTCACATACAACCCCTTTCCTTGTAATGAAAAAGTAGCTTTTTAACTTTTTGTATATATCTTTTAATCTTTCCGCAGTCCAGAAACACAAACTTTAGCAAAATCACAGGTCAACACATCCTTTTGTTTTGTAACTAACTAACGCCTGTCTGTCCCTCTATGTCTCTCTTTCTGTCTCTATCTGTCTCTGTCCTCCCCCCCCCCCCCAGATAATGATGAGTGATTGTGACAATCCGCCGGCTATCTGACGTCTTCCCGTGAGGCAGAAGGAGATCTATGCATGAAGCATCTCAGTGTTTCAGGCACACTTGCATGACGGGTAACTAAGTGCACTCCAGGATGTGGTTTCGTATCATCGTTCTAGAAACACGCGTTCTTATTAACCAAAGCTAACTTGAAGAGTTACTGTTGAATGTCCGTGTGTATCTGTACATGAAGGAAAACATCATGTCATGAATAATGTTGTGTTTCCGTTTGTTGCCACGGTGGCATTTTATTTTGGCGGGCAAAGATCTGGTCCTCTCAGGTTCTCTCTTCTTGACCACAGCCTCTACAAAAAAACGGTTGAACCTCCTCCTTTCTTACGACTCTTTTCACCGACTCAACAGTTCACATGAGATCAAACACATTTTCCACCTTTCTTAAACTGATTTTTTTTGTGAGACCGCTGTCTGTTGTCATGGTAACGTAGCAAGACAAGACGCTATACGGGCCGCGTCAGATCGATGTTCAGGTCAGAGAGTAATAATAATTATTCATATTTGATTATGGATTAAATATTGTAAATCTTTATATTGAATAAACTCTTTTTCTAAGAAGCTGAAGACTTTTTTGTTTTCTTTCTACCTGCCGACTGTGCGTCGGAGACGCAGTGTGACAAAGTGCATTTACTCTACCTGCACCCGACGCATGGTTTGCTTTCACCTTGTGTGTCACCACGGCAACGGGTTTCCCTGGAGACGCCGACTGTAGCAGGAAGTCAGTTCTCTTGACTATGTGGTCATTTATATTTACTTTGTGTCTCTGAGTGACGCTTTATAGGTCGGTGCTTCTTTCATTCATTTCTACACCTGCACATCTCAGGGGTAAACATTGTACTTTGATATCATTACATTTATAACGAAACAGTATTTATTTCTGCAGCAGTAATATTAGTCCAGAAAAATCAGGTATAATAGAAAAAAAATAATAAATATCTAATGTTTTAAGCTTCTATCGCTGCTAAAATGATTATTATTAAAAAGGCCCGGCGGTTCAAGCTGCACTAAACGGACCCTCCTCCATTATTCACGCCGCTCGGCGGCGGCGTGTTAGTTTGTTGCCCCGAGTCGCCCGTTCCGTTTTATCGCCTTGTATTATTCACGAGTCGTGATTTGCGCGCGTAGCTACGACGACGAGAGAATAAAACATCAGGAGCATAAACCGTTGACCTCTGGTTGGCTTCATCTCCCCGGAGGCTCTGCACCTCGTTCTGCTGCTCACTTTCTGGCTGTTGGCAGAACGATCTCTCCAGGTTTCCATCTCCTCTTTGTTCCTACAGCACATCCCGTAATGTCTTTAACCATCGCATTCATATTATTATTATATTGAGTTATTGTTTCATTTCAGTGTCAACTTGCTTGTTTATTGCTATTCAATTTTTCTGATTTTTGCTTTGCTGAAATTGATCCACAGATATTAATAGTTGTAAGCTTAATAATAATATTTGTCCACAACCTTTTATACAAAATAATAATTAAATCATTTTATTAAAGAGAATACATAACAAGATTCAAGCAAAATATAAAAATAAAGATAAATTAAAAGCATAACGTAAAAATGGAAAATAAAACCCGCTGAATAATAATAAAATAACATCAGAAGGTCTGAGCTGTGTTTCTTTTATTTTTTAGTGCAGATTTGAATTTTTATGACGAACCGTTTTGAAAATTGCTTTTGCCTCGAGCGGATTCTCGACCAATCACAGCTCATCAGTCCCAGCAGAAGGTTCCTCGTTGGTTATTTCTGTCTCATACGATAACCTTCTTACCCGTCCTCTCCGTTTGACATTATACTCCGGAATAAATTAATTAAATCCCCGGTTGGATTGTTGGTCTGATCTCCACTCCTGAGGGGGAAGAAATGTGGGACGCACCGGCGGGGGGGTGGAGGACTAAAACAACATAGAGCCCAAAGTGGGACCAACCAGGAAGAGCTTCAAAATGACCACAAAATGATTTTACAAAGACACAAAATCACCACAAGAAGACTGCAGAGCGACAAAACAATGACACAAAAGACTCCAGGAGGCACGAGATGATTACTGAGAGTCTACTAAGAGACAAAGAAAGACCACATGATTACAAAGACACCTGGAAAAACCCGCCAAAAAGGACACAAAACAACCGAAAAAAGACACACACGAGGTGGACTAATCACCTCTTGAGTCCGTGTGTCTCCTCCGTAGGAGATGCGTCTTTCATATCTGGACCCAGTCGCTCACTGTCCTATAATCAGCCCGCGTTTACAGTAATACACTGTAAAAGAGCGGTTCCTCCTGTGAGGGTTCCTTTAAATTGAGACGTATGTCCTGTATTCTTTCCTTGTCCTCCATTTATAGGCAGTGACACAGATGTCAAACAAAAAAACAAAAAAGGGCGGTGGGCCATCAGTGTCAGCGAGGAGAAGGAGACATAGGGTGCAGGACAAGGAAGAAGAGGAGAAGGAGACAGACGAAGTGGAGGAGCACAAAGAGGAGCAGGACATCCGACCCGAGGGCTCCTGCAGGCTCCCATGTGACAGAGGAGAGGCACCTCCTCATAAATCTCCTCCTTTATTGCTCTTCTTCCTTTTGTTCCCTCCTCTAATTCGTCTCTGCTGTTGCTCAATATGCGGCGTCCTGCACAGGAGACGCAGATAAATCACTTTTTATTGTCTGCCGGCTGCGTCTCTCCTTCTCATCTCGCTCAAGTGGGGTTTGTGCTTTTTCCTCGCAGGTTAAAAGGAGTCAAAGGCCTATTTCGAATTGAGGGGGGCGATAAATACAAAACATTCAGAAAAGTGCTCTCCCTGCTGTCTGTCTTCATATCATCACCTAATCAAGGATCCATCAGTTTGCTTTCACCTCATGTAGAGATTTAAGATAATCTGCTCATGTTATATGAATTACTATACAACAAGGCTACTGAGAAACGTAAGACAACCAAAAAAAGGAACCTAAATACTATAAAGACAAAGTGACCACAAGGGTAGGTAAAACAATTAAAAAAAGACACCAAAACATGCACGGAATTAAGATAATGAAAAACAAACTGACAAAAAAAGATCACAAAATGACCATGAAGAAACACAAAAAGCCAATAAGCAAACTAACATGAGAACAAGAGCAACCGCAAGAGATGCACGATTATCAAAAAAGGCCACGAGACAACAGAGAAACAGAAGAACACTACGCGTGCGTGGGGTTGATGGTGGCGCATGAGTAGAGAGGATGGGACCACGAGGTCGCCGGTTCAACCCTCAGCCGCTCCATGATCCATGTCGAAGTGTCCTTGAGCAAGACACCGAACCCCCAATTCCTCCCCGGGCAAAAATGGAAAAAGCCACGGGTTAAAAAGGCTTTTATCCAAAAGCGTCAGCTAAATGACCTGTTTGTCATGAATATGCTGCACGTGTGACTTTAGACTAAGAAGTATTTAAGAAGTATAAGTACATATATAAATATGTCTGTATTTATAAACCAATAACGCCCGTTTGACAACGCTGGGCGCCGCCTTCAGGTGTGCCTCGAAAATTCTACAACCAAGAACTCGCACAGCGGAAATCAGCTAACGAATATGGCTTTAGAGTACTTTTGGGATATAATAATGATATCTTAAAGATTTATTGTATTGTTTTGTTTCCTTCAGCTTATCAACAAACATTCATACACCAAGAGATGTGTTTCATTATAAAGAAAATTATACAAATGCCTGAGTTTTGCATCAACCTGCGAGAAAACAACACAAAGTAAAATATAAACATACAAATGAATTTAAAATTACAATTCCCACAGCAAAATAATACATCTCGTTAGCTATGTTCAGTGACATAAGCTGTTTTTTTTTTTTTTAATGGAAATGAGTCATGCAATTTACAATTGTTGCATTATAGTTAAAGCTGGGGTTTGTTTTTCACTAGTATGACATAACATAAAAAAACATTAAAGTATACAGATGTTTTCTTTTGTGAATGTATGTCCCTGGTCACATTCATTCATCTATGAATATGAGACTATATTCATATATGAATGATTGGGATCAGAGGAATATGCAGTTATGTCTGAGGAAAAGGCAGAAGAGGGAGAAAATATAATGAATAGGTAAATAATTGGTGAAATAATTACATTATAGGGCATTTAATGTAATTAATCAAAGCGACTTACATTACATTTTAAACCCATGGCTTTTTTTTCACATTTTCCCGGGGAGCAATCAGGGGTTAGGTGTCTTGCTCAGGGACACTTCGTCTTGAGACATGGGGCAGCCCGGGACTCGAACCACCAACCTTGCGGTTGGTAATATTATGGTAATATTATTTGTTTTGTTAGTGAATTCAATACCTACATCATAATACCAATATTATTAAAGTAACAAGAGAAAGAAAACTAATATATTAATAATAATGAGTAACAAGTAAGTTCAACGTGTCTTTGCTTTAATTAAATAAATGGTAATATATTTAAATATTACTTATTTGTCAGTTCAATAACCACATAATTATAATCATATTATTATGGAAGTAAAAACAAGAAAAATATTGCTCTATTAATAACAAGTGATTCAATGTGTCTTCGTATGTTTATTGAATCCGTCAAACTCAATTAAATTCAATCACTCCTTCAATCGGCTCCTTCGTGCCTCCTCACTACTCCCCTGCGTCATAGTCGTCCCGTTTCCCAACAGCACGTGAAGGCTGCACCCCACTCCTCGCCCCGCCCCCTCCGCTCCCCGCCGGTCTCCGGCCGCCCGTCCAGCAGAAGTAGCGGACTAGCAGCCTGCTAGCATGGCGCTGCTCGCTGCCGAGGGAGTTCCGTTGTCTCGCCGGGGTCCTCTCCCCGTTCAGTTGTACCCGACTATCTGACAAAGAAGTACACTAATATCAAGACGTCGTACAATATTTTAATATTTCTCCCATAAATACTCTTGACTCGTGTCGCTTGTTAGATTAAAAAAAAAGAAGGAAAAAAAGAATTGTTGGATACCGGGAAACGAGAGGAGTCGCCGCGTTCTTTGAGAGGTAAGCTGGCTTTAATCGTCCTTATTGAAGTTTCATCGTTTACTTTTTGTCTGAGGAGTTGTAGAAAACATTTGTTCCAAGGACGAACTAGAAAACTAGTTAATGCCGTAAAAAGCAGCTTCTAGTTGCACCTCGTTAAAAGCTAACGGCGTGAACGCAGCCGCCGCGCGAGCGAACTTACTTTAATCTACTACTTTTCACAATATCTCGCGATATTATAAAACGCTGCTGTCGCTGTCTTCAAAATAGTAATAGCGCATGTTTTTTTTTGCTGCTGTTGCGTAATATTGACATTGTTTCCCCCGGAGTAACAAGCACAAGGGAGTTTGAGTTTTCACGATAAAAACAATGGTGTTTTTAGGATTTAATCCAGTAGCCTGGTTTTGTTTGTGGTATTTTTTTATCAATACGTGACGAAGTGAGTTAACCTATTGATCAATCTTTCTCCATGTTTGTGCTCACAAAAGAGGAATCTCAGCTTCTCTGTTTTTTTTTTGTTAACGCGACGATGACGTGTTGACTGTGCCAGATCCAGGATCAGTTTTCTAGGTGTAATTATGCGCTGTCGGGTTAATCGGATTAACGTGACTTTAAATCTCTTAATTCTAGACTCTAATGACTGTAGTTTTCTTTGCTTTTTTTGGCAGCTCATCATTAAGCTGCGATTTTGAATGTGTCAGTTTGTCAGCTGAAACAATCCCTCTGCTCAACAAATGAAGCACAGATTCAGCGTCATGTGATGTCTGTTGTTTGCTTATAATATTATATAATGTGGTTTTTAACTAATCACACTGCACACAAATCTGTTTCTAGACCAGTACATCTCTTAACACAGAAGAATTCCACTCTAAATATTTAAAGTTGTGCGTAAACCTGTAAGTAAAAACATGCAAACATTTCTGCCTATGGCCTAAGGCCTGCTTTAAAGATTTTTACATTTATTTAAGAATAATCTGTGTCTCATTTGACAAAAGTTTGACAGAACAGGAGGAAATGCTTAAGGAGTCTCTGCAGTGACCAGCAGGGGGCGACTCCTCTGCTCCCATAGACGTCTATGAGGAAATGACTCTACTTCTCTGCAGTGACCAGCAGGGGGCGACTCCTCTGCTCCCATAGACGTCTATGAGGAAATGACTACTTCTCTGTAGTGACCAGCAGGGGGCGACTCCTCTGCTCCCATAGACGTCTATGAGAAAATGACTCTACTTCTCTGTAGTGACCAGCAGGGGGCGACTCCTCTGCTCCCATAGAAGTCTATGAGAAAATGACTCTACTTCTCTCTCGTTTATTCCCTCAGTAAACGTTGTAAACATGAGTTTATGGTCTCAGTCTCTAGTTTCAAGTCTTCTTCAATACAACATGATGTTCATTCAGTAAGTTATGGTCCATTTAGAGTTAAAAACAAGTTACAAAACTTGAGTTACAAAACCTCAAACTACAAAGCTGCAGTTTATAAACCAATATGTGACGTCACAGATTACGTTGCCTTCTTTGTCTGTGGTTTAATGAGGATGTTCAATATATATATATATATATATATATATATATATATATATATATATATATATATATACACACACACACACACACACAGTGTAATGTATCAGAGATATGCTCATTCTTTTAAACAGGCCTTGGGCCACAGTTTGCCCACCAAAGGCTCACTGTGACCTATTTCTTGTTCACACACACAAAGCGTTGTTTAATTAACATCTCGACCCCGTTTTTATAGCTGACAAAGACGCCATGGCCACAGCGGAGGTATGGGAGTGACGTGACGGCATACTGGTCCTGCTTCCAAACTCAAACCACGTGGGCGTCATGCCTCTTCTGCTGAAGTAGCGGTGGAGCACGCAATAGGATGGACGAGTCGGTGCTGCTGGATCTGCTCGAGTGCCCCGTTTGCCTGGAGCGCCTGGACGCCTCGGCGAAGGTCCTTTCCTGTCAGCACACCTTCTGCCGCCGGTGTCTCCAGGGCATCTTGGGCTCGCGAGGAGAGCTGCGGTGCCCGGAGTGCCGGACGCTGGTAGAGTGCGCCGTGGACGAGCTCCCCAGCAACATCCTCCTCGTGCGCCTGCTCGACGGCATCAAGCAGAGGCCTCGGAGGGCCGGCCCCGGGCCGGGAGTCTGCACCAATGGCACGTTGGGGGCCGTGGCCAGAGCGCACGGCGGCGGAGCCAGGGACCAGGGCACCCCGGGAGCGCAGCCCCAGCGAGCTCAGGCTAAGGGCGCCCTTGTGCGGGTTAGTACGCTCGCCGTGACTGCACAGGGATCAGTGAGCACGAGTCTGTGTTTTTACCGTTGTTTGGATCATAAAACGGAGAAAATCTGTGTGCATTAAAAGCAGCATGTTGCATTACGCGCTCTAATCTTTGCTGCGGATTAACTGTTATTGTGGCGATCCGATCGCCAGCCAGTTGACCAGCAGCCCGACTTTACTAACAGCAGTAATGTGAGCGGTTAACCGCTGCGCTGCCGTAGGATTCGGCATCTCTCTGCAGCCGGGCCTTTACCCCGCAGAGCTTAGTTCATTCTCGCCGCAGTAAAGGTGGCGCGTGGAGGCTTGCACGCCTCTGGATTCTGTTAACTAGCAAGTAGAAGTAGATGGAATGGATGAAAAACTTGTATGTCCGGGGATTGGAACAGGAAGTTGTAAAACAAAAAGCTTCTTTTTGAAGAAAATCTCCAGCCAAATCAAAAATGTACAGGATTTTCAACCATTTTTCCTTTAAAATATGTCCAATAACTGACTTATTTCTTTGGAGATTGTAAAAAGGTAATTAAGTAGTCCTTTGATATGTGGTATGAGTTTATTGGTAATTACAATCCCTCGTCCTCGTTTATTTTTTGAGCTTTTCCTCAGTGACATTTACAGTTTATGAACACACCTCCGAGCTGCACTCGGTGTCCTTTTGTATCCTCACGGTTCATTTTGTCGCTTCGCCCTCTGGTGTTTTGGAGAATCATGCAGCAAACAGAGCGCTGAGTATCCGCGGCTGTCGCACAAGCTCAAGTGTAAACGAAGCCTGAAGAAAAGGTTCTCTGTTGTTTGTCCGTCGCTGACAGTGCGGCGTGCAGAATATCGTTGTGGCGCTGGAGATCCTGCTGCGGCGTTGCTGTGAGTCTACGTGACGGTTGCAGGGTGTGAGTGCAGGCCGCTCCTTTTTAATCTGCACTTCTGAGAGGAGTTGTAACGTGTAGTTATAGAAGCAGGGGCCCGGTGTGTTTCATCTTTTTTATGTTTATGTGCTTTAAATGTCATTTACTGAACCTCTTTACTTCAACAAAAAACGCTCCCTTACTTTTTTTTTTTTTTTACAGTTAACGCTGTTCTGTGGGAAAGTCAATACTTGGTACATTGGAGCTGCTGTGCATCATAAAACTCTAAATCGCACTTGCGTGTCACTGCTGCTTCTCTCAGCGCCCCAGACTGTTCAGTGTGGAGTCAGAATGTTAGAATGTGACACATCGCAGGAGGAAAGTCAATATTATCCCGATTTGTCGAGATTCTGTCAGTTAAAGGGAAAAACATGATGGACGAGATGTTTATTCTGCATGGAGAATCTGTGTAGAGGTTCGTCGCTGTAGATGGATCTGTTGGTTGTTGGTGTTACTTTGTCTCTCATAAAGAAAAACAACTACATTTCCCAAGAGACCGGCAGGTTAAATGAGCTCCAAAGGACAGACTTTTTCTTTTTGTTTGTGAGCTCTGAGCCCTTCTTGGTTTTACTGTCCAATCTACTACGACAGGAGAGATTTACTCTTCAGTAAACATCCCATTTATGTTGATTGCTTTTGGCTGAATGACCATGTAAAAACCAAAGTTTTGCTTCGGGACGGGAACTTGTTTTTTATTTGCCGGGCTCACGGACAGACAGCAGAATGGTTTTGTTTGAGGGCCGAGCGGTGAAATAACGGGTGGTCATGTTTACCGGTGCAGCTGTGTCTTTATGAACCCATCGAGGTCTGGAGCACGATGCAAGAACCAACCTGTCAACACTGCGGGTGTTGCTTTGGTGCGATTAGAAATCAAAAAGCAGTCTCCATTTAAAGAACGCGGAGAAACCTCCACGGACTCCTATTCGCTCACCTCTGTTTGTCACGTAAGGGAGGATGAAAAGAAGCCGAGGCCCCGCGCAGAATCACCGGAATGTCAAAGCGCCGATTGTGTGTCTGCCGTCACTGTGCAGGTAGGAAGATCAGAGGCCTCGCTGTGAACCGCTAGCGGGGGGTGAATGTGGGGGGGGGTCATTTGCCACAGTATCGCTTCAGAGGATTTGTGCTCATTGTGGAATTTTCCTCGACTATGGAAAAATAAGGCTGTTTGTGGAGAGATAATGAGATGGACACCAGCCTGTTATTTCACCTCTGTTATGCCTTTGAGATTGACAGCTGATTATAATTCCTACAGACATACGATCCTCCCTCGTCAACGCACACAGACACACACACACACGTCTCCTCCACAAAGCTAAAGGAGAACCAGTGTTCTTGGGAGGACGTCTAATCGTCTCATTTAGACTCTTTGAGATTCACCAGCGTGGCGTTCACTGACCTGTTTATATATATATATATATATATATATATATATATATATATATATATATGGGACAACTAAACGTTGGCATTTCTTCAGCTAGTTTTAACCTAAGGACGTCCCTGGTTTAACCTGCTCTGTCTGTAAAGAAGAGGACGAGCAGGAGAGGGTCATGTGTATTTGAATCATTTGTCGGGATAATTGAACGTTTTGTACTTTTACATTGTTCATTCTGTACGTCCATTGCAGTCTGTCCGTCCCGCGGAGGATCCTCCTGTGTCTCGCTAAAGGTTTCTTCCCTTTTTTCCCCTCCATCAAATACTTTTTCATTGTTTGGGGACTTTTTCCTGTGCCGATGTCACATGTGTACAGACTGTAAAGACCTCTAAGTCTTTGCAATATTGTGCGATACAAAATAAAATGAATTGAATCAAATAATCAACTGACAACGCCCCCCCCCCGCGAGGCTACAAGCCCGACAAAGTATCACAGACAAGTTAAATGTATACGTGTTGGGAAAATTGTAGTTTATTAAGCGACAAACCAACAGAACTTTACGAACGACATGCAGCGGCTTTCCAGATGTTCTCTGCATCGCAAGACTGTACAGACATGGACAGTATGAGAGACTCTGTGTGAGACCGCCCGTGGGACAGTATGAGAGACTCTGTGTGAGACCGCCCGTGGGACAGTATGAGAGACACTGTGTGTGCGTGTGTGTGTGAGAGAGAGACAGCCCGTGGGACAGTATGAGACACGCTGTGTGAGACAGTATGAGACACGCTGTGTGAGACAGGCTGTGTGAGACCGTACGAGACACGCTGTGTGCGACAGTATGAGACACGCTGTGTGAGACAGTCCGTGGGACAGTATGAGACACGCTGTGTGAGACAGTCTGTGGTGTTCATCAGCGCTTCGGCTCCGGAAGGTCTTCTTGTAAATAAATGATTCCCGTCTTCAGCATCGCTAGCGCTCTCACAGGAAGTGATGTCATAACAGATCTTTGTCTCCTTGAACAGAGAACGAACTATAAAACGTGAATCTCACTGTGGAAGTGAGCTGCCCTTTGTTTCCCGGGGGACTGATGAACCAACCCAGCAGCTCGGACGAACTCGCGCCGGAGCAGGTTCAAGTTTTTCGACGTGTTGCTACGGTGATTTAGACAAACCTGCTTCGCGAGACCAACAAACAGAACACCGGTCTGCACAAATGCTCAGTTTTCTAGTTGGTGGAACACCGGGTACGAACAGGGATGATCAATTAAACATAATCGCAGAGATATTTGAGCTGAGAAGCTATTTTAAGATTTTGGAACTCGTGAAAGACTCTTTGTCTACATACAAGAATAATAAAGCAATGTTTCTTTTCTGAAGGGATTTTTATCACAATATAATTACAGAAATAACCGCTAAGCGCGTCGATGAAGTCCCTATGTTAACTACTCGCGTCAGACGACCCGAAACCCCTCTGAGATGAGGGAACGAGCGGCGCTGAGTCGTGTCCGTCGGCGGCACTTTGCTGATCGGGGGAACAAGAGAAGACGCGGCGGTGCAGGTGTAACGCTTTTTCTTTCTTTTCTCTTTTTTTTCACAACATGAAAGGCCGAGATCAAAGCCCCCGCCGATTGCCCCGATCTGATCTCAGACCAGCGCTCCTCGGGGACTGAGTGCCTCACTGGCCTCCCCCCCCCACGCCCCACCCCGAGGGGCACACTCGGGCCCACTTCTTTTATTGTTCCGTCGCCGTCTGTTCCCTGCTTCTTGGAGGGTGAATCTAAAAGCTCGAAGCAGCTACTGACCCCCCCTCTGCACACCCCCACCTCCTCTTGTTCAGACAGCGCTCCACCTCTACTTCTCATGTGCCCAGAGAGTCGCTGCCTGGGAAGGGTGGAGGGGGGGGGGGGTGTAGACGACTGCCTGACAGACGCACAACAGGGTTTTTTGTCCCGGGTTCCCCTCTGATCTCAGTCGGGCCGCGGCCATAAGGGACCAAAGCCAGAGTGAGGTTCTTACTGCACGTTTCAACGATATTTATTGATACCCTTTCGTTTTTTTGGACAAGAATAATTGACATTGCCTTGTTGCTCTTCGTCGTCTTTCTTGAGCGGCGATGCAAGAAGTTCTAGAACCTCCCAAATGCCTTCTTTCATCGATCCACCTGTTATTCTGATCGGGCTCCTCGGTTTCTCGGGCCAGTGAGCAGTGAGTGAAGTCGGGTGGAGTTGACGCGTCCGGACCGAAGGGTCTCCTGGCGCTGCGGCAGTTGTTTGACGCGCCGCCCTTAGAGGCCGGTCGATGACTCACCGCCGCGGTGCTCCGCTTACGTGGATGTTTTGTCTTCCTCGCCGGCTCGTATAACGCAGTGTTTTGTCCACACAGATTGAAAACAGATCGCGCAGTGGTGTGTTTTTAGTTTTTGCCTGAGAGTGAGTAAAGGCCCCCGCAGCTGTCAGGGTGTCAAAGGTCAGGGTTCAGGAGTCACGGCAGTCAGAGGTCAGAGCCGACGAGGAAGAATAATTAGAGAAAGCTTTCTCCGGATATCTTCAGTTACCGGTTGAACCAGAAATATACGGCTTTCTCTTTTATGACCTTTTATGTCTTTGTCGTAAAAAGCTTTCCTGTTAATTTTTAATGATGTTGTTCATTACTCACAGTTTAGGCATTTATAGCTGTGATGTATTTGATAATAAAGTAAGTGGGTCTTAA